TTTTGTTCCGTGGCTTGTGTCCAGACGAACATTTCTTTATTTTAACCTAAGTATTCTCATCACTTTTACTTTCATCTTTGACTTTTAGCATCTCGCAATTCCTTTCAAATTTTATCCCGTCTATCTAGGGGTAACTACTTAGGTACCTACCTACATAACCGCACGTCAACCCGAATAAATAATTACGGATTCAAGGACTACTTATACATACAAATTAGCGGTTACTTTTACCTATTTACGCCACCACCAACCACTGCACACTACCACGGAAGTTCACGCGTAACGCATTACCTCAGGCGGCTGGTCAGGGTTACTTGGCGGTATATTTGACCCTGCTATTGACCAAGCTATAACGTATTGACCAATTAGAGCAGCTCCCATCGCCTAATCCTCCGCCACGCAACATTGAATAAAGATCGAGTGTCAGTTTACTCAGTTTACTCGTGTAACCAATAAGTGTTAAGGTATTGAGGTACGTGTGGATATTTCTCTTTAGTTTCTTTTTTTTCCTTTTTAGCTGAGGCTTCAAGCACCCGACTCTTCACGTCATATGATTGTAAGTATTTTTGTACTCGTGTACAAAACAATGCCATCATCACCCTATTTTCTACTGCTGCATGCAAGTGCCGGCTTATCTACCTACTTCTAGGTAACTTAAGCTGTTTATCTCATCCCATTATTCCGTCGCATCAACCACAGGACCAAGCTGTCGTATCATTTATAAGTATTGCGTGAACGCCGCTCTACTTTTACTGGACATATGCTTGGCAGTACTTATCTGAAGCTCGGAGTTCCACAAGTTGTATACGTACATACGTACATTACATGCATCTTACTTAAACCCATGAACCCATAGCCTTCTATTCATTCTCACCTTGGCTCCAATTCGTCTTACCGAAGAAGCTTGGAAGCTATTTCCCCAATTGACAGCGTTACACAAGACCGGGATATCCCGTACACGTTGATTGGTTCTTTTTACATGCATCACCATTCTAGTCCATTATTAAATCAAACTCACTAACCTCCTTTGGCTTTTTCAGACCAAAAACCCAGAAGCTATTGCAACGCGCACAAGCAATAAGCTCATACCTTCTCCTTAAGACTTTCACCACCACATTCGGAACATTCACAACATACAACATCACATCCTCATATTCTTCTTCACGAATCTTTCAAGGCAGCCATCGTAACTACTACGCGACATAGTGTCACTACGGATTTACAATCACTAGAGAGTACTCGTACCGGATCTTACCTCCTCACGTCAAACGAATCATACGCCGAAAGTCCTACTTGTATTCTTCCTCTATCGCGATAACATCTAACCTGCATATAAGGTGTGCTGTCGCCTGTCAAGAGACCTGTTCCAATCCCTACTGCAATGGGCAAAACTGGTGCTCTTCAGCTCAACCTAGCCCACTTTTACAACTTCCGCCATCGATAGAGTGGCACACAGAGGTCAGTCTCCTAACTTTCTTAATCGTCAACCTAACCTTTATGTCCCTATCGCGTACAATAGTACAATGGTCTTTCTTTGTCTCGTCTGCAGTTTGCATACTCCTTCGGTTGCGAAGTCTCGTCTTTTCCTCGGCTCTCCCTGTCAACTTGCCTCAAATACCTCATGTTGAACAAGGGAGTCTGATTTACTCATCAATGCACACCAGCTCTAACAACTTACGACCCTAATGCATACCAACAAATGCTAACATTACGTCCTTTGTCAGAACCCTGGTCCTTTAAGTACGTGACCCTCTCTAGACCCTCCAACACCGCCAGTCATGGCAAAGACGCTCCGACTCGGAGCTCGGCTCCGCTACCCCATTACCATATCCAAATTCCTCAAAAACCACGGCGACGATGTCTCTAAGCAAGAGCCCATCCTTCGATATACCTTTAAGTATACGCGCAGCGTTGGTGACCCGAGTAAAAACGAAGAGCATGAGATAGAAGAAACAGGTGTCGCAGATTGGGACAGCCCTGCTGAGGGCAAGGTTAAGCAATGGCGGGTTAAGATAGGAGAAGTGATTAAGAAAGATCAGGATCTTGTCACCATCGAGGAGTCCTGCGGTCACGAAGTACAATACGCTGGTCTCTGCGCCATATGCGGTAAAGATATGAAGGAGGCTACCTACGCCAGCGAGTCGCTCGATACCGAACGCGCCACAGTCGCCATGGTACACGATAATATCGCCCTTACCGTCAGCGCGGACCAAGCCGCACGCGCCGAAATGCAATTGCAACGCCGATTGCTCCAAGACCGCAAGCTCAGTCTTGTTGTCGACCTGGACCAGACAATTATCCACGCTTGCATCGACCCGACCGTAGGTGAATGGCAACGCGATCCATCAAATCCCAACTATGAAGCTGTCAAAGACGTGCGCAGCTTTCAGCTCGACGACGGCCCTCGTGGTGCGGCCAGTGGTTGTTGGTATTATATTAAGATGCGCCCAGGCCTAGCCGAATTTCTCGAAAGGATATCCCAGCTATTCGAGCTACATGTTTATACAATGGGCACGCGCGCATATGCTCTCAACATCGCCAAGATTGTTGATCCGACGCAAAAACTCTTCGGTAACCGGATCATTAGCCGAGACGAGAACGACAGTATAACAGCCAAGAGTTTACAACGATTGTTTCCCGTTAGTACCAACATGGTCGTGGTCATCGACGACCGAGCCGACGTCTGGCCACGGAATAGGTCGAATTTAATCAAAGTCACTCCATATGATTTCTTCACGGGCATTGGAGATATCAACTCCAGCTTCTTACCTAAACGCGAAGATATAATAGCCGCACCACCACCCCCCGAGACGAAGCCGGTCAATGGCAACGCCGCGCGACCAAACGTCAATGGCAGCGACACAACAAATCCCATACCAGATCACGAAAAAGCATTAGCTAATGGCAACGATGAGAATGCGATTCTACAATTACGAGCAGAAGAGCAAGAGCGTACCCTTGAGAAACAGCTCAAGGATCGTCCCTTACTTCATCTGCAAGAAGAGTTGGATAAAGTGGATGAGGAGACCGAGAAGGTAGAGAACGGTGACAGTCCAGAACCCTCTACAAATGGAGAATCGGAAAGTCCATCACACCAACGACATAAACTTTTACGCGATGACGACAGAGAACTTAAATTTCTCGAACAGCATCTAGCCAAACTTCATCATTCGTTTTACGAACAATACGACGCTCGATGTGCGAATCGCCGGCCTGGTGACATCGTACCGGATGTGATTCCAGATGTAGGATCAACCTTGAACTTCCTCAAGTCGCAAATTCTTAAAGGCACGAAACTTGTGCTTTCTGGACTGGTCCCGCTAGATGTCGACGTACGTAGAAGTGAGATTGGAATGCAAGCCGAAAGTTTTGGCGCCGAGATCCGGACACGCGTGAGCGACGAAGTTACCCATCTAATTATTAACATCACACGCCCGCGGACTCAAAAGGTCCGCCAGGCGGCACGCATCCCTACGATCAAAATAGTCAACCAAAATTGGCTCGCGGAGTCTATCGCACAGTGGGCGAGGCTTGATGAGACGCCGTATCTCATACAAGTACACCCTGCCGATCGAAACGCCGAAACACCGTTAGAGGAAGGCTCGGCTTCGCCTCCCCGGCCGAAGATTACCATTGTCACCTCGGGTCGTCAATTATTCGAGGAGCAAATGAACGACGCTGCCGAGGATGGCGACGCGGATGGCTCAGATGATGACGATGAGGAGGAGGAGGAAGAAGAAGAAGAGGAAGACGATGATGACGAAAACGACGACGAAGAGTTCCACGACAGATACAATGTAATGCCGCCCGATATCGGAGACGGCCAGCATAGTCCTATTGACGATCTCGATGGGATGGAGTGGGGCGATGTCGATAAGGAGCTCGAGGAGTTCATGGGATCGGATATGGACGACTCGGATTTTGAGAGCACGCAGGGGACCGACCGCGGCACGGATACGGAATCGGAGGAGCCTAAGAGTAAAAAGCGTAAGCTAGGCGATGAGGATGATGAAGATGATGGCAGCGAAGAGGCTGGAGGAAGTGTGTTAGCCAAGAAACAACGCATCGCGAAAGCGAGGACTACGGGTCTTCGGAACGTCAGAAACGCTACAGACGAGGAAGACGAAGAGGATAGTGGGTTGCCTACGCCGATGGGTACGGGCGACGAAGAAGATGCGGCGCGCGAAGCAAATGCTAAGGGTAATGGAGAAATTGGCGGCGAAGACAACGAAGACAACGAAGACGACGACGACTTTGCCGACCTGGAAGCCGAGCTGGAAGCTGAATTACAAGCAGCAGGCGAAGGTGGTTGACTTATCAACCTTATTTATAAAACCCGGATGCGGACTGGGGCTAGTAGAGGCAAGAGGAAGCGTTTGTTTTGATAGGTTTGTCCGTCTGTATCATGAGTGGACGAATGCATGACTCTGGCGGCGCATAAAAACAGGCACATCATCATCATAATCATTTTCTTCATCATCATCATGCTGTAAGGGTTTTTTGTTCATCGGGCTCGGACATGATATGCTTGGCTCAATTTTAATGGGTGTTTATGCCTGATCGAAAGTGTCCAAGGGGAGTTATTCTAAGAGGAGTTATTTGTCGTAGGCGGCAGACACATAGGAGTCTGGGAGTGCAGGCGGGCATTAGGTGTGATACCTACCGGAATTAAGGGGGGTTGGCTCTGCTTAAAGGTTTTGCATAGCGATTTATTTAGTTGAGCTGCTTGACGATAAGTTAGTAAAAGAACCTTTTCTCCATTTGTATGTAGCACCAACTATATTAGTTGAGTAGTTGTTGACTGAGCATAGTCGAGGCAATTCGTAATCTTGCTATCGACTTACAAGGTTAGGTACCTAACCTAAGGTACATATATGCTTCTTAATACACGTGATATTATTATGTAAGACAGTAAGATAGGTAAAGAGTGTCCCCACCTTTCTCAAAGCTCCGGTCCAATGAAAAGTCTCAAGATTCGAACCCGTCGGCCGTCATCAATCGGGAGCTTTGGTCAATTGGTCCATTGGATTTCCTAACGACGACAATAAAATATCGACCACGAAATACCCATTGCCATTGCCATAATGCCTCAGGATCTGCCCCCCATCGGGGGCTACGGCCCTGTACAGTACAAGGTTAGTTTGTTTAGTTTGTTTAGTTTAGTTTGTTACTTATCTACCTCAGCTATTTGCGCCTGAGGGTTATCAATAGGACGAGAAGTGGTGATGAATTCAATTCAAGGCTAACATGTGTTTGTCTCTCACCACAGCGTAACCTCCCCGGCCCAGGCTTCCGCCCAACCGCGCTACTCCTCGCTATGGGCGCCGTCATGACTTTCGGTTTCTACAAGTTGGGACAGGGTATTCGAGAGCAGAAGTGCGTATCCCGCTCGCTAGCCTCATCATTCCGAATGGCATAAGATAGGTTTAATGCTAACCGTCTGTTTTTCTTTGCTCGTAGTGAGCTTGCCCGAGAAAAGATGTGGTCGCGTATCCACTTGATTCCTCTACTACAAGCCGAGGAAGACCGCGATCTCGTCCGCAGACATCTGGCCGATCAGGCACGCGAGAAGGAGCTGCTAGGCGATAACATGCAAGTCTACAACTCTGGAAAGTATGTTATCCTCCCATGTTATCCTCCTCCTACCCGAGCAATTGTTAGAAGGCCGGGAGAAAGAATTAATGCTGACATATATACGCTCGTAGATACGTGAGGCCAACGTTTGCCGTTACGCCGTCGAACGTGACGAAATAAAGAAGAATAGTGGTAGTGGTAGTAGCACATGCACTCTACATAGATTACGACGCAATACAATACGCAGCTGGCTACGAGCGGAAGAGCTCCCCGGAGTTAGCAACGGTGCGAGACGTGTATATAAAGAAATAAACAAGCTGTTAAGGTCGTCCGGTTGAGTCTGTAGCTCATAGTATTATTACCTTAGGTAGTTTGAAGTGCTACTGATAATACAATGAAAGCGATATACTCGGGAATCTGAACTTGGATTTCTGCGCTGAGTGTCTTAGGTATATAGGAACGAGTAAGATCAATGGTAGAACTAGCATCAAAGCAACTCGCGGGTGTGAGATTTTAGGAGTAACAGATAATCGACTATCAAATTTTTGCACTTTTATATAGGAAGCATCGACTAGCCTTAGAAAGATATCCAGGGCATCTACAATAAACTAATAGTGTCACGACCAAGTTATCAAAGATAGGATACGTCACAGGATTATGGATAGTTATCCGAAGCCTACGTTTGCTAGAGCATATATACATGTATATTAGCTCTATATAGGTAGGTAGGTAGCAATATGTAAGAGAACTGCGAAGATATCTAGGCTGTCGATTTTACGCACAGCCCCGTACGAGGATAGGACTATCCAGACGGCTTTGTTATCAGGGGAGGCATCGCTGTAATTCTATCATGAATTTCATTCCAATAAGTGCACTTTTCCTATCACGAGGATTATTGCCTCTTGACAGCCAAACGCCAGACTCCTTCCATCGTCATCAATCCATTCATACGTGTCTGTCTTAGATACAGCTAGTTATTCATTACCCGAGCGTATACGTCATCATGGACACTGTCATTAGTCTAAGCAGCAGTGTGTACCACCTTGAAACCTTCGCTTACCACCTTCGTGATGTCCTCATTTTTATGTTGAAGTAATCCTAGTGCAAACGCAACATCGCTCCACTGGCGTTCCGTTTCGCAGCGCGGAAGACGAGCCGCCAGTTTCTCTGCAAGCTGTTTTGCGTGTTTGTCCTATTATATCGTCAGCATAAAATATTGGACAGCACAGCATATAGTGTACACGAAACTCACCTTCTCGACAAATCCTAACAAGAACTTAACAATCCGTCGGAATGGGTCCGTCTCTATCCGGCCGTCCGCGGACAACAGACTGAACATATCTACGAAGTGATTATACACTGCGTTATCCTTAGTGCTTAGCTCTGTGAAGAACATACGCGCCAAATCGGCGATCCGCTTGTCTTCGTCTTCTAAGCATTTAGCCATCTCGCCCAGTTGTCCCTTCACCTTGACCTGTCCCGCAAGAATCAAGAACGTCAGCGTCATTAAGCATGTGCGCTTGACAGACAGGTCTCGGTCGGCCAGCCGTCGGTATAAGAAGTCTGTGTTTTCATCAATAAGGTGGTTAAAGCAGACGGCCATGTCGCCGAGCGCGATGACTACGTTCGACCGCACTGTCGCGTCCGGCGACCTCTCCATGATGGTGATGAGTAGCGGAAGGTGGACCTCGCAATACTCGCTACTGACGCACATAAGCTTCGCCAGGCAGAGCGTTGCCGCAGCCTGCAGACCTTTATCTCTATATATGTCGCTGCGCGAACAGATCTCAGCTACCAATGGGCCGAAGTTGGCCAGCAAGGACTGCGGTCCGAACAAAAGCTCCTGCTCACGTATATGCGCCATAGCCTCCGTGAAATCATCTTCTGTCGTGCCACCAATCAGGTCTAACTCATCGCCTGCCTCCTCCACGGCTGGGGTAGGTGTCTTGCCCTTTCGGCCTACGGATGGCCGTGGGGCGGCGGGTTTAGCAGCGGAGTCCTTCTCCTTCTCTTGCTTCCGTCGCTTGAAATCAAGCTCGCAGAGTTCAAGATGGACGATTTGTTTGATGGCTACGTGGCCAACTATGAAAAGAAGCTGGGATAGCGCAATCGCTGCCTTCTGTTTGGGTTCGGCCGGCGGTTCTGAAGTTAGCCGGTTGACGGTTTGAGTTGGAGCGTCGAGGCCCATGGTGATGCCCTGGGTCATGCCTTGGTCAACAGCAGCAGTGACAGTGAAATCCTGATCCCTGGACCCCGGACGAGATGCAGAAGGCGACGATTTCTGTTGTGCGGCGAATACGACCTTAGTCCTGCGTCTAATTATCTCGGAACATAGCGTATCGGGGTGTTTAGCGAGAGTATAGATTGCATTGATGGCCTGCTCAGCAACTCCAAACCACTCCTTGCTGTCGCTTGGCACCTCGGTAATTGCCGCCAGCCTTGCTAGTACGGCATGCTCGTTTGGAAGACGGCTGAACTTGACTGTCGAATCCTTGGCTTGTCGACCTGTAGGGTTAAGCCTTTGCAGAGCAATGCATGTATACTTAGCTAATTGGAGGTCGGCTCGGCCATGCGACCCAAGCCCAGTTCGTAGCATCGTCTCCATTTCGCCGACGACAATTTCCGGCGAGGCGGTGGCAAGCATGCCTAATATGATAATAGCACCTCTTCGTTGAGATCGAGATATTTCTCTTTTGTGAAAGCCGTATACCTCCCACAATTTCGTTACTACTCGATCAGAGATCATACCGCCCTTCATCATGGTTGCGAGGAGTTGCTCTAGACTAGTCAATTCGGCCGGCGTAGTACCTGACGTGAGGCTGATCATATTCCTCGCAATATAGATAGCAGCATCGTTCGGACTAAAGCTGTCCGGTGCTTCGAAAAATAGTCGTCTGTAGCAGTCGATGAGATGCGACTGCACACCCTTACCCTCGTCACTGTTGCCTTTCGTCCAGATAAGGCGCATCATCCGTCGAATTCCGACCATGTTGTCTTCGATGTTGTACGCGTTTCCGATTTCTAGGTAGTCCATTGCTTCGATAACTTCAGACTTATTCTTGGATCCAAGAAGCTGACAAACAGTGGAGGTAGCCTCGTGTAAAACCTCGATAAACTTAAGGGCATCAATGTAATATCGCTTTGTCAAAGTTAGCTTCTCGATGGCCTCCGACGTGGCGGCGTCTTCCTGAGCTTTCTGAACTGCCGCCACCTTTTCCTCATCGGTCATGTCTGTAGGTTTCTGAGGCGACTCTATCTGGGTGGGCTCATCTACTAATGCCGTACTGTTAGCCTTGTCTTCTCCTAAGCCAGGCTCACCAGCTGGAGGCTTCAAGGCGTCTAGCTCGGCATCAACCTTGTCAAGCCTTTCCTGCCAATCCTTGCGAGAGAGTTGAGCCCCATGTAGCACAGTAAAGGGGTGGGTCTTGATCAGAGTCCCCAGAAGTTTTATTGCATTTCTCCTGACGTGACTGCTCTTGTCCTCGAGACTTCTGCAGGCAAGTTCGGCGGCCTTCTGCCTACGCTTAGGGAACTTCTGTTCAAGTTCGCAGAGCCTCGTATAGACCTGCATAGCTCTGCATCTGCAGTAGGGATTAATATCTAGGAAACGCTCCTCCAACACGTCGAAGAAAGCATTAAGCTGAGATTTGTGATTCTCGCTACGCTCTTCCTGCGTGGTGAGATGTGCGATCATGTTACCGCAAACCTCGATCAGCGAGCATCGCAGGGTATACGACTACTACACATTAGGCTGACCGACTATAATTCGTGGGTCATACGTACCTCGCTATCTAATTGCTTGGCTAGCATCGTCATCTGTTTGATCACTAGGCGAGGAATAAGCTCGGAGAGCTTGACAATGAACGAGGAAACCGACTTCGGGCCCTTTGTATCATTGGTATTAAATTCCTTATTACTGATTTCTCTTAGGATCTCGTCAGCCAACTGCGGGTAGTCGTATTGTTCAGCTAATATGTGTAGAAACTCAGCCATCGGCTCAGACAGGTGTTCGAAGTAAGTTAGATTCTGGACGATGGATATTTGCGCCGCTATCACCATGTCAGTATTCCTACCAAGTTAATTTGACTGTCAAGTCCGCTCACCGTAGCCATGGCCGTGATGTTTTACGGCAATGCAAAGAACCTTGAAGGCATGCATTTTTATGGCTGTGTTCTTGACTCTCTGCTCGCTCTCTAAGATCATATAGACGGGCCTAGTGAGAAGACCTATGAATGTATCGCGCTCACTAGTTGTTAGGAATATCTTGCCCAGTTTCAACTTAAGAACTTTGGACATAACATCCAATGCCGACTGAAGCTGGGCGGCGCTATCCCAACTGCCGTCCTTGTCTTTGCTCGTAGCCTTGGACTTGGCGCCTTTGCCCCTGGCGCGCGATACGGGAGCTGTAGAAGACTTTTCGGCGGCTTTCGTCTCGACGCAGGCGATTGTCCATTGTAATAGGAAGCCGTATATTTCGAGTAGAGATTTGTGGTGGGCGATTATCTCTTGCTCGTCGGGATTTTCGAGGTCGTGGTTGATAGTATCAGCCTCAGCTGCTAGGCCGCTCATAATAAGGTCGAATATCTTGCTTAGGGCGTGAGTGGGCAGGAACTGCGTATATCTGGATTGCAGGAAAAGCTTAGAAATAGGTTCTCGCGATCTCGAGACGGAGGACTGTGAAGACTGGAGATTATCAGGGGGGGCAATGGAAGTGGGTGCACACTTGAGAAGGAACTGCAGCGAGTCAAAGTAGGCGCTGCGCATGATAGCGTCGGGATTTCCGGCGACAGCATCGACGATAGGGTTCAAGACCGAGTTAAGAAGCGAGATGTTGGATAGCGATTCGGGATCGGACTCGCAGTCGACTAAGGCGCTGTCGGCTTCGGGAGTAGCGATACTTGCCGGGTCACTCATGTAGTGCATGAGCGCCTCGTTTATATCGAAGTTGACCGGATCCATTGTGGCCGGGAGTATTTGCGCCTGACGAGCGCTGATAGAAAAACGTAGACGAAGTTGAGGTCGAAGTAGATGGATTATATTAACTAGAGAAGATAACTACTTCGTAGGAAAAAACAAAAGTTGGTCACCAGGGACATTCGATAAGATGAATAAGGGGGAGGAGAAGAGAGGGTGAATATCCCGGGTATCTTTAGAGGGTTGTTATTCTTTTTTAGAAGATCATAACGACATGGATGAAGATGTTTTGGAGATTGTGTGGAGACATTGGATGCATACGAATAATTTAATGCGATAGGCTGCATAGATGTGCCTAACATAAAGTTTTAAGCTGCCCGGTGCTTTAGCAACCGTTTTGTTATTGTTTAGTTCCTGATAAGGCGCGACCGCCAATCAATCTTTTCTCCAGCAGAACCCCGCGCCTAACCCCCATCAGCCCGCTAAATAAAAACGCGTCTGATACCTAAAGAAATCGGAGATTCAGGTACTTTGTACATGTACCTATCTTAGGGAATTTCGAACATTGACCGTCGAATAATAGAAATAGAATTTCAAGGCATAGAACCTTGAAACCATTACCACCATAACGTTATCCACCTTGATTGAATTTAAATTTATTATAATTCCTACTCCTTTCAACTGCCAATCGCTATCCAAATCGTTGTCCACGTATCATATGCCTTTCCTTCGTTCTCTCGAAGCTTCGCAATTTAGAACAAGATATTACTGGATCGCATTGGGTTATGTTCAAGGGGAGAAGGTAGAGGACGACGAACAAGAAAGAAGTTCTGCAGCATTAGGATATGGCATCTGCCACCCATCGTCGAGTGGCCAAGGCGCCCTTCCAGATTCACCAAGACCAGCCTAGGGGCCAGACTTCAGACACCGAGGAGTCTGCACAGAGCCAGACACGAAGAACTGACGAAGAATACGACGACCATGATGACCATGATGACCACGACTATTTATTAGGGGAAGAGGGCGAAGATGAAGAACAAGAAAACCCAGCCGAGGAAGACGACGGCTGCGAAACCGACTCCTCTGACGATACCGACGAGATCGACCTCAGTGTTCAGCATGACATGGACAAATTACAAACCGCCTTTCCCAACTTCAAAGATAACTATCGTCTAATAAAGCGCATCGGCGAAGGAACTTTCTCTACCGTCTACAAAGCTGAAGATATACAATATCATCGGTACGAGAACCGTTGGGATATGGACGCGTTAGAAAACCAATGGAGACCTCCGCCCCTCAGGAATTCCCGGTCCAACTCCGTTTCTTCTCGCACCCGCCAAAAGCCAAAGTTTGTGGCGATCAAGAAAATCTACGTAACTTCTTCGCCCGCTCGCATCCTCAACGAGCTCGAACTCCTCCACGATCTACGAGATTCCCACTCTGTCTGTCCCCTCATCACGGCCTTCCGTGAAGCAGACCAGGTCCTCGCTATCCTTCCCTACTTCCGCCACCAAGACTTTAGAAAATACTATCCCCACATGAGCGTCTACGATATGAGAGTGTACTTCCGATCCCTCTTCACAGCTCTCGCTGCCGTACACGAAAAAGGCATTATACACCGCGATATTAAACCTACCAACTTTCTCTACGATCCCGACAAGAAGCGCGGAGTTCTAGTAGACTTCGGATTGGCCGAGCGGGAGGGCTTAGATACCAAACCATGTATTTGCCATGATGATCGACAAGTGAGGAAGCAGAAACTGCAGCAGTCTGTCGCATTCAGCTCGGTCCAAGCTGGTCCGCAGCCAGGCTACCCAGTGAATGATACCCGTCCTTCTCGTCGCGCCAACAGAGCGGGCACCCGTGGGTTCCGGGCACCCGAGGTTTTATTCAAATGTACGGAGCAAACGACTAAGATAGATATCTGGTCTGCCGGTGTCATTTTATTAACTATTCTCTGCAAACGGTTCCCTTTCTTCAATAGCGCAGATGACGTCGAGGCACTAATTGAGATCGCCACTATATTCGGCTCAAAAAAGATGAAGATGGCGGGCCAACTGCACGGCTGCGTCTTCGACACCAATATACCTACTATCGGCGAGAGGGGCTTTACTTTCGAAAAGATCATGCTATGGAGCACGTGTAGGAGCGATGTGAGCAAGGATGGTAGACCCAGCACATTGACCGAAGAGGAGAAGGGCGCCATCGAGTTTTTGACAAGGTGTATGGAATTGGACCCGACGAAGAGGATCAGCGCTAAACAGGCGCTGGTGCACGAATTTTTACAGATTGATGCGGATACGGAGCCGGAGCCAGAACTAGAAGACGATGTAATGTTGTTATGATAGCTCTGAATAGGATCCTGGAATTTATCTAGGGCGCTATAAGGGATGTAATATCACTTCGAATCTGGGACGAGCAGAAGCCAACCTGCTTCATAATCGTACTCTTATGGGTTTCAGGACTACGAGCATGGTGGACCCTATACGTACGACATCGATGTCACGCACATGGTGTGTAGAGTGATATCAGACGCTTACTCGGCTATGGGGATAAAAAGGATACGAGAGTGTGCCAAGGGAGTTCACTACCAAGCTCTCGTCGGATGAAATATAATGGTAGAATGGTACGCCTGGTCGGTATGTCCCCATCCGGAGTTTATACCGAATAACTTGAGATTTGCTTTCGTCTGGAAACATCTATCTCGACAAGGCAAGAAGTACTATATTAGATAAAGGCTGGCATGAAGGTAAATGCGCGGTAGGACAGCCGCGTCTGAATGTCTGATCAACTCCTTATTTCACGTTATAGTACTATACGTGGCTTATACTGCCCAAAGACCAAGGCAAAGCAAAAGAAGCCTGTGCTATCACAAATGCCTACTTCGTATACTCTAAATAACATTTGGGCTTGGGAATATGGTATTGATTATCATCCTTCTGCGACTCTTCATATGCTGTCTGCCCTTGTAGTAATCAAAGCGTATCTTAGTTAGTCCTCCCACCACCCCAAATCCAGACTTACATCCTATGGATTATGTAGCTCGGGGTGGAAACCAATCTCGGCTTTTGTAAGGCCTTGTTAAATGCCGGACAAGAGAATGTTGAGATGGGAAATTGTGAATAAAAAGGATTGATGTTGAGATTGTAATTGTGACAGCAATAATCAGATTTGCTAGATTAAATTACTAGCTACTTCGTAGTATGCCTACTATTCGACGCGTAAGTATGAGATAGGACGTCATCGTCCATTGCTGCAACATAATAGATTAGAACTAGCCAATCGTGTCTCTGCGCCGATACCCTGGGTACATCATTTCCATGACTTTCCTGCCATAGAATGCAATATCGTAGTTTGTACAAGTGCCAAAGCTATAGCTACAAATCCCCGCCCATTCGCCGCTCGTTGACTCCCTAACAATCATACACTGCCTTGTCCATTCATCTGCCCTTACATCCAGAGACATAACTTTCCACTGGAAGTCCCGCCAGCCTACCACAAAATAAGTTAGCATTGCTATGAACCAGCGTAGCGAGACACCGAACACATCTGAAATACATACCAGCCAATTCAATGTAGGGTGAAACTCTGCAACTGCAGGTACTGCAGTAATTCCTTCGCCGTCCAGCTGGCCGAGCTGCTTTCCCTTGCTGTCGTAAATATCAACAAACCGGTTCATATTGGCGATGGCGAACTTCTCCACACCGTCCGCCGGGTTAATCTGCCATTGCGGCTTGAGAATGGTTACCCAGCGGCCTGTCTGATTGTTATGTGGAATCACGTGCGCCGGCTTCATCTGCTTGGCGGACAGGTCTTGGCCAGGCTTCCACTTCATTGCGTCGGTCATATCGTAGACCTTAACCGTGTCGTCGTAGGATGATGTTGCTAAATAGCCACCTCGACTCCATGAAGCATGCGACACAGACAATCGAGACTGGTGTTCGCCTAGTAATGAGGGGCGACGAAGATCCCCCTTGCCCTTGATCATTCTCAAGTCCCATATCTTTAACGTCCTATCAAGCGATGCTGTCGCTATAAGATGAGGCAGGAGAGGGTTTAGGGAAAAGCCACCGATCTTATTGTCAGATAGGCTCCAGATTTCCGCTTTGGTCTTCGCACGCCTATCGAATCTTCCAAAAGTGCCTTCCAGAGTTGAGAAGAAAATAATGTCTTTAGCTTCGGGCGACAGGTCAATGCACGAGATACCCAAATCGATATCGTCGTCATCGGGTTGCCATAGCTGGGTGCTAACTTGCGACTGTAAATCCAGGCAACGTATTGATGAGTCGTAAGAGCTGGTGATGACTGAATTTGGATCGAATATGGGTACTTTTATGGAAGTGATAGTCCTGCTATGTACTTCGAAGGCACCTACTTGAGGTAGGGGAATATCGACGTCTTCGTCATCATCATCGGGATAGGTAGGCTTTTCTTGCGATGCGTCGAAAAAGCCCAAGGTGCCCTTCTTATCACCGGCGAGGATAATCGGTTTATCCTGTATGGGATGAAACGTGAGAGAATATACACGTTCAGGGGTAATTTTGATATCTGCGCGTGGTTAATACTACGATTCTACGGTAGAGATCCTTTACGTAAACACCACCTACCGTTCGGGACCCAGCCATCATAGAGTGTGAGATCACCCATCTCCTTTCTGAGGTCCTTTAGCTTGCTGTCTGAGGTATCTTTGATATCATCCTCAGTGAAAGTTCGAACGCCTGGCTGGGCGCCTTGAACGAACGAAGCGAGAGCATTGGTACTTGACCATCTCTGGCCCTCGACTTGAAGATTTGACAGTTGCAAATCACCACTTGTGCGAATACGTTTGGGTTCGGGCGGCTTCAACTCAGCAGGTACATCTTCAAGCTTGAGACTTGGTTCGGCACCAGCTCCGGCGAGTCTTGCACTCTGACGGGTAGGCATGATACGGGTACGAGGGGCTGGTTCGGCAGCTCTCCTCTTCTTGGATGCAGTTGCTCTCGGCGGCGGAGCTGCGGCCTTGCGCATCTTGGCCGCGACCTCGGCCGATTCTTTTAGCAACTTAGCATTGTTTACCACATTTGCTCTCCTTCGAGCCTCGAAGGTGCTTAGTTCGGGAGCCATTATGATTAGGTCTAATGAATTGCGAGATCGATGCTGAGAAAAGGGTAATTGCGTAACTATCGCTCAAAATAGGCAGATGAAAAGGAAAAGGAGGATTTGACACGAGAGGACTCCAAGATATGTTGGATATTGGATATGCGATGAAAGTGACCGGGGGTGAATTAGGCTTCAGTCGCCTCGGATAGAGACGCTATCTTCTTCTTGCTCTAACTTGTCACGGAATAGGAGACCGGAAAAGGAAAAGATGGAGAATGATAATTAAATAGCAATCAAATCACAATGTCATTTTTGAACGAAAAATGAAACGAAGCTGCGCGAGAAAAGCGCAAGCATGAGTGATGATCGAAATGATTTAAACTAGAACAGAGGAATGGGAAAAATCAATTAAGAACATTGAACCGAAGACGCGATGTACAGTACGCCATGTCATGCGCTTACCGCGTATCCCTGTACATATTATTACGTCATCTAGGGTATGCCGCTAAGCCAGAGAAAGAAAATTACATAATGTCTTATCGATAATAATAAAAATCCCGCCCCAACTAAAGTTCCAATACAACGAAAAAAAGAAAAAACTTATCAACCGAGATTTATATCTTCATTTGTCCTTTTCAAAATGACATCGACTTTGCTACCATTTCTCTATAATACGAGGACGATCCTACGAACGAATCCTCGAATTACCCTTACATTTTATCGTTCTTTACACGCCACACGGCGGCAATTAAGAGAGGGTGATGAAATACCGTTCGCCTCTTACGTTCCTAAAGATGAAACTCCGCCGGAACAACCTCTTCGTCGTGGTACCATCACCCCGTCGGAGAGACGCGTATTTGAGCGTATCTTCGCCGATATAAAGGCCCGTGGTCTTAAGCCTTTTGTGCCCGAAGGCTCATCAGCAACCTCAGCTACTCGCACTACTCTATCTATAGTGCAACAAGCTGTCCAAGATGCTAATCAGATCCGCCCCGCCACCGTTACTACTCCTGGTATATCGGATGGTCCTACAGATCGTCGTCATAAGGCTCTTCTACGATTTCCACCCGAATTGCGCGCTGCTGCTAGCAAGGCGTTCGATACTATCCAGCCTTCAAATTTGAGGCTTCCTGGCGGTGATGACATCGCATATGATGAAGCTTCTATCGCGGCCAGCCGAGGGGACCCTGATGGTGATGAAGGTTGGAAAGTGCCCGCAAATGCCGTCGACCGCACTATGGAGCTGGAGGCTAAGCGTTACCCTGAGCGCACCCGTGTCGAAGGATTAATCACTGCTGCAGAGACCGACTTCGAACTCTGGGATGTCCTGGAAAAGGAAGTGTTCGTAATGCCTGCTAGACTTGGCATTCGCGGAGACGCATCCAAATTGGTAGAAACAGAGACTAAAGTGCCGAGAAAGAAGAAGAAGACGGAAGTGGTTACGGCCAGCGAGGCGGTAGACCATCTTGAAGATGTAGCCGATACTCTCGAGGGTGAGGGTGAGGGTGTAGATGCGCCGGTAATAATCCCAGAAGAAACAGACGTCACGTCCACCGAAAACAACACTCCATCCCAGGAACTGAGTCTCTACATACATGGGCCGCTATACCCGGAATATATCCTACTCGCACTACGACGTCTTGACACCGCATTTCGTGCGCCATCGCCTCTCGCCTTCTCCATACTACCCCGGATTAAGGAGCTAGGACTCGAGTCATATATCCTTGGCGTATCAACACCTTTCTATAACGAGCTTCTGGAAATTTACTGGACCCGCCGTGGCGATCTATCCGGAGTGCTAAACCTGCTAGAGGAAATGCGCCATTGTGGACTCCAATTTGACGCACAGACCGCGTCTTTCCTTGGGAGAGTAAACACGACATTAACTTTGCTAGCTACTAGGGAGGCTCCTGGTTCATTTGCAAGGGCCCTCACGACCATGCCTGAATACGACCGGTCTGTACGACACCGCATAAAGCGTTGGCATGAAGCTGTGGACTCGTCAATCAACGAAGAGATAGCATAACATCAAAATTTGAGAAAGATTAGGTACATAGCTGAGCTAGGATAGTGGCTGTTGATCCGCGACACACGATAGGTAGTATGTATTATCTAGCTCCTAAGTTTATGCTGATAACCTACAATAACTGATACCCCTTAAATATATTTCTCTTCTCATTCGAATGGGATATCATTAACATTTCCCTCCTAAGTATATGTGTATGAAATGCGTCAATAACTATGAAGGTGGCGGTAAAAAGAATATTCGGCCCCCGGATTTCGAACCCATCATTACCGATTTACTGTTATCTATCCCTCCCCTCCTCCTCCTCCTCCTATGGTCTTAGTTGGAGTAAGTTGGAGTTGGACAGGCTTTTACATTCGCCGGTATGAATTTCCCCATTCATTGATTGATATTATAAAACAAGCTCGCAGCCTTTCCGACGTTCAATTATCTTCTTAGTGCACCATGAATTTTGATGAGAGCTACGACGTCGTAGTGATTGGAGGCGGTAATGCCGGGTTCTCCGCGGCCATTACCGCAGCGCAGTCTGGTGCGCGGGTCTGTCTACTTGAGAAAGCGCCCCTTGAAGACGCGGGGGGTAATACATTCTACACTGCGGCGGCATTCAGATGCTGCTTTGATGGCTTGCAAGATTTGTTACCCAACCTCTTCCAACCCGACGGCACGAAAGGCCTGCCGCAAAATATTGTTGATAAGATCGAGATGACGCCTTACACGGAAGCCGACTTCCATGCGGTAAGCTTCAATTATGAGTTCTGACCGGTTAGCTATGGCTGACTTAATTAAAGGACATCAATCGGGTTACCAAGGGAAGAGCAGATCCGGTGCTCGCTGATATCCTTGTGGATAATTCGAGAGAAGCAGTTCAGTGGCTGATGGATAATGGCGCCCGCTTCATACTTTCGTTTAATAGGCAAGCGTTCTTTGTGGATGGGAAGTATAAATTCTGGGGCGGAATGGTTATGAGCATGGCTGGTAAGATCTCTCCTTAACCTCGTCTCTTTAGCATGCCCTTATTTCCGATACTGATACCGATACCTTGGCATAGGTCAAGGAAAGGAGCTATTCGAATTTCATATGAGTACTGCGAGGAAACATGGAGTGGAAATTCATTTCAACTCCCCAGCAATTGATCTCATCGCCGATCCTACAGCAAACGGAGTAGTTGGTGTCAAGGTATTCAGGGACGGGAGTCTAAAAACTATTGGCGCCCAAGGAGGTATCGTATTGGCTTGTGGTGGTTTTCAAGCATCTCCGGCATTACGCGCCCAATATCTAGGTCCCGGTTGGGATTTAGCTCATGTTCGAGGGTCTAAATATAATACCGGAGACGGCCATACAATGGCCAGGAAGCTCGGGGCTAAGCTAGAGGGCAACTACTCGGGTTGTCATTCCGTTGCTTGGGACGCTAACTCGCCTCTTGCGTCTGGGAACCGCGTATTAACTAACCGATACACCAAGTCGGGCTATCCTCTCGGTATTATGGTGAACATCGACGGTAGACGCTTCGTGGACGAGGGCTTCGACCTACGCAATTTTACTTATGCTGTTTATGGAAAAGAGATCTTGAAGCAACCGCAAGGTATCGCGTTCCAAGTTTGGGACGCGAATGGCAGCAAATTTCTGCGCCAGGAGGAATACGCAGACGATGTGACGATGAACATCAGGGCTGAAACCCTCGACCAGCTTGCCAACGTACTTGTAACGAAGGGGTTAAAGGATAAGACACAGTTTCTTGAGACCATTGCCGAATTCAATGCCGCCTGCATGAGCTTCCAGCAGGAATGTCCCGAGATTAGGTTCGACCCGACAGTGAAAGATGGCATGTCAACGCAGGGCACCTCGAGGTCGCTTGGAATAGGCAAGACCAACTGGGCTATTCCCATCGAGCATGGCCCGTTCCAGGCTGTAGAGGTGACGTGCGGCGTTACGTTTACGTTCGGCGGATTAGCGGTCACACGCGCCGCGGAGGTCTTGAGCGAGGCAACCTTTCGGAAAATTGATGGTCTCTATTGCGCGGGCGAGCTGCTAGGGGGACTCTTTTGGGATAACTATCCCGGCGGCAGTGGGCTGACTATGGGCACTGTGATGGGTAGGATAGCAGGAAGAGAAGCTGCTAGCAGGGCAAAGACTCGTGGCGTTGGCGATGGCGATGGTTCGATGTGAATTGGTTGAAAGAGGCTACTATACTTTTCAGACTACTAGACAACTTACTAGATATATTATAACGTAGGCATCTAGGTGCATGTATTGATCAAATAGTTTTGTGGTGAGCTCTTTTGGGAACTTGATCTTATGTTTTAGGTATTTAATATGAAGTGATTCGAAGCCAATATCTTATAATCAAACATAAAACGGTTCGAAACATGAGACTCTTTGTCTCCTGAGTATAATATGATTACCTACCTGCAATGATGACTTCTCAGATGTGTACCTCTGCTCGGTGAGATAAAGGGGACTATACAGTGCTAAATTTAACTATTCAAGTAGCGCTGGTGTAAGATACACTGTACGGGGCATATGAGCTTTTACTATTTAGTTAGCTGAAAGATGACAGAAAAGTTTTTATTTCTCGTGGCAATTACATCACCTAACTCACAGTCTTGCTAGGCCTAGACCTCTGCTTATTCCCACCGGCGAAGAAATCCTGTATATGTATTTCTTAGGTCTAGAACTTTGGAGCCCTGTGGTGAGTTAGATCGTCCTGTCCCCAAATTCTTTGCCCTTCAGCCCTTGCACGTGTGATATCACCAACCCTCTTCGATCCTTTGGGAGAATTTCTATCGAAGAGATAAGCTTTTTGGGACCCGAACGCCTGGAACCTAGATTCATAGGGCGGATCTTAAACAATTTAGACCTGTTAGTTGCCTACTCTGGTCGAGTAACTACTTAATTACGACTTCGCAGAAGATCTTATTTCGTGCCATCTACGAGGTACATATATTTTACCTCGGGCGAAACTCTGTCATGATGTGGCAAGGTGAAAAGGGCAGGCAGAATGAACCAATTCCAATCAGCAAGGATGTCGAAAAAACTGTCGGACAAAGCGATACTGTTGAATCGAAAAGCCATACCTCATTGAACAAGTTTTGGGATACTCTAGCGAGACTGATATCGGCCGGTCCCGTTGAAGATCGAGGAGTCATGCCAGTATCGTTGGAAGACCGAACAGCTACCAATTATGGCAGTTACTTTTCGATATGGGCATGCATGAATATAAACCTCTTGCCGTAAGTCATCGTCAAATACGGATCCGTACGTACTATCAACTGGGAGTAGAGCTAGTTTACTAACATCTGAATAAGTATCACATTTGGCATGCTGGGTCCAACTTATGGATTAAGCTTAAGAGATTGTTCTCTGGTTATCCTTTTCTTCTGCCTCCTAACTGCTGCTATACCGGCCTACCTTGGTACTCTTGGCCCCAAGACCGGCTTACGCCAAATGATCCAGGCTCGCTTCTCGTTTGGAAGATATTTAGTTTCGGTACCGGTCATCTTAAACTTGGCTACGCTCACAGGCTTCTGCGTCGTCACTTGCGTCATTGGGGGTCAATGCTTATCTGCTGTAGCTGGCGGTTCTCTGACTCCGGCAGTTGGCATCGTTATCATGGGTGTTATGGCTTTGCTCATTTCTTTTTGCGGATATGACGTTTTGCATCAATACGAACGCTTTGCCTGGATTCCAGCTTTGGTGGCTATCGTCATCACTACCGGTTGCGGAGGGACGGGCCTCCGCCAGCAAGCACCAGCGGAGCCTGCGACACCCGGTGGTGTCCTTAGCTTCGGGATGATCATAGCATCGTATATGATACCGTATGCTTGCCTTTCATCTGATTTTACGACATATCTAAACCCCAAGTTCTCTTCGTAAGTTGTCACTATATCTCGTGAAGCTATTTAGCCCCTGAACTAATTAGCCCTAAGCGTGAGACTCTTCTTATACGGTTACGCGGGCCTCATATTCCCGTCGGTATTACTGATGGTTCTAGGCGCCTCTATCGGCGGCGCTATAAATAGCATTCCCGAGTGGGAAGCCGGATACGAGTCGACACAAGTTGGCGGCGTATTAGCAGCGATGCTGTCGCGAGCTGGCGGCTTCGGGAAATTCGTTGTGGTCGTACTCTCTCTAACCTTACTTGGGAACATCGCCGCGACGATGTACTCGATTACTCTCAACTTCCAAATATTAATTCCGCAGCTTGTCGTGGTGCCGCGGTATATGTTCTCAATCGTAGTCACGGCCATCGTCATACCGGTTAGCATCAGAGCAGCGGTGGAATTCGTCGTCAGCCTTGAGAACTTTGTCGCGCTCATCGGGTATTGGTCTGCCGCGTTCGTGGCAGTGGTGATTGTAGAACATAATGTTTTTAGGGGTGGTAAATACGACACGTATGATCACGATAGTTGGAACGTGGCAGACCGCTTACCATGGGGCATCGCTGCTTTGGCGGCGAGCGCTCTAAGCTTTGCGTTGGTGATCCCTAGCATGTCGCAAGTGTGGTTTGAGGGTCCAATTGCGAAAAAGTCAGGCGACATTGGATTCGAGATGGCTTTTGCTGTAACAGCGATTCTCTACCTCCCTCTCCGACATCTAGAGAAAAAGCTAAGCGGACGATAGAGAAGAACCGAGTCAGATGCCCGGGTACCCGATCCGTATAGGTAGAAGATGCATGAGCATATATGAATCAACTGTTTTATAGACGGGTCTGGACATTACTATTAAACGACGAGTAAACACATACATATGGTTCATTATTTTTGATTACTCTACTCGTTAGCTTTTCGCATAACCTCTTTCAAATATTGGGTAAACTATTCTAAATAGGTACGGTGCTGTTCTGAGGTATGCAAGCCCCGTAGAAGGATTTCGTTAGAGACTCGGTTGAATTCTTGACAGCTGCACCTAATGCAGTTGTTCCACACTTGAGACCCAACACGAAGGTCCCAGCCATCACGTCGGCCATATACGCTCCTGTATGCGTATGGTCTTTTGGATAATTGGCGTTGACAGTTGACGGGCCCAAGTTAATCATGGCTTGAACTGCATACTGCTTATGTGGAACATGATGAACATCTGGGCTTGCTAGTTCGGCAGCCGCATGCCTTCAAGATGGTCAGTGAAAGTATAAGGCTTCGCTGATTCGGAATACTCACCAAGCGTAATAGTCGAATCTGGCCGTCTCGCCAACACACGTGCCACTCTCGCAAATGTTGTTTGGGGTAGGGGAGTTTAAGATAACCTTTGCCCCCTTGTCAAGGAATAACTTCGCAGCGTTTTTATAGTAAGCCGGATACGTCAGTACCGTCTCCTGAACGCCATTATACGTCGTTTGGCAGGTCTGAGCACCATCTCCTGGGCAGTCGGTTCTGCCGTTGTCAGTACTTAGACTGCCGCCGTCGTTGTGCCCGAATTCGATAACGACCCAATCACCCGGTTTCACTATGTTAGCCACTTCCGTAAAGCGGCCTTCACGGGTAAACGACCTTGCGCTCCTCCCGCCGATCGCAGAGTTACGTACGACATAATCGGAACCGAAGCTGTACTGAAGATACTCGCCCCAACCCTCGGTGGGGATTCCCGAGCCACCGCCTCCCTTTGCCATTGTCGAATCGCCGCAAAGATGAATAGTGGTAGGAGCTGTCGGTGCAGCTGTGGCAGTTAGAGCCAGCAGCCACCAAACCCCGCGGAAACCCATAGTCAAAATATCACAAGGAAGGCTGATGTGGTCTTTAAACTAAACGCGATGAGTTGTTGATGGAAACTCGTAACTGTGGCGGGCCTGGTTTAAAGGGGGAATGCCAATGGTATCTATATATCAACACGATATTAATAGGCCAGGTAGTCTATTAACACTGCACAAGTTGTACCCATCGGTGATTCTAAAAGAAATAGCTGGGCATTTAATTCCGCTACTAAGACAACACGATCTAGACCGAGGCCCGCATCACGATGAAACGAAAGCCCACAGATCCCGGTTAACAATAAACGCGTCTGGTGTAAAATTTACTAGCTACGTTTTAATTATTCCGTATCTTATTGAACTCCGCACGTAGGCTTATATACGGCGAGACCCCGAACAAGGCGGGCTGAGGGGACCGGAGTAAATAAGACATTTGCCGGGACATCACCCTCCGTAAATTCTATCGGTCAATTGCCTAAACAGTCAACTTGGCCGGCTCATATTATTCCCCAACAGGCAAGATAGAGCCGTATCCTTGGCAAAATCTAATAATTGGTGGCTTTTGAATAGTTAATTGCCGCCAATAATTCGTTATACCCAAGGAGATAATTATGACAGGTAGTCTACATAAGTACCTCAAGCAAGATGTGCATGTAAATGTAAACACATGTAGTACTTGGCGACATTAGAAGTTGACGTGAATTTCTTTGGATTATCATACCGGTCATTAAACAAGACTTTGGATTTCTGCTACGCCCAATAACTGTGTTATGATTCACACGACAGCCATGTGTATCTGTATCCCATGTTGGCTCTCTAATTTGATCGGGACGCCTGGAGCAACGAAGAAGATAAATCCTTCCTTAAGATGATGATCTGTACCGTCGGCATGCATTACCCCATTCCCAGAAGTCACGATCATAACGCCGGGCCCATCGCTCCCGGTAAGCTCCTCACTCTCGCCGGCGCCTAGGTCTGTCTTGAGCATGTCGAATTCGCTCATCGGCGGCCTGTATACTACCGTTTTACCCTTCTTGCTTTTGTCTGACTTCTGGCTAGGGAGGTATACGTCATCCCTACTATGAGCCTTGAAGGTCAGAGTATCCGCGAACAGGTCGGCATTATTGCGGTCTCCGGGTGGACAGAAGCCGACGTTGAGCACGTTGTTGCTCCGAGCCATACACTCGACGATATCACCAGCTAGATATGCGTGGATCCCATCCGCAGGAATCCATATCGCGTCGCCGGGATTGAAGACCATAAAGTTCATGCACAGAAGTGCAACTAAACTGCCTGCATCTTCTGGGCCGTACTGGTCTTGAAGACGAGGAAGTAGGTCTAGAATATAGGCTGCATCGCCTAGCTGATCTCTCGGGGTCTTTGCGAGCTCTGTCTGAACTATCTTAACTGTCTTAAGGTCGGACTTGAGTAGATTCCTGGTTACGGTTCGTAGTGTCTCATCTGTCCATTTTCCTGGATTCTCTGGATTGAACTGCCGAAGTGGCTGTAATTGAAAAAGGGGCGTTATTTGGTCAAGCGGCTTGAATCCGGCGAATACCTCGAACTTAGACAGCGCTACTGCAATCTCAGGTTTGTGATTTGGATCGGTGAAGTTGTTCGGATCCTTCTCGTGAAGCTTTTTGGCAAGTTCTTTGTTGGGATGGATCTGCAACGGAAGGGCCTTTGCTATTGATAGGATCTATAGTGTTTCGTGAGTTTTTTCTAGTTACTACCTAACGAAGTTGGCTTCTTTTAGTGAGACGCGGATCTTACCTTGGGCAAATAAGGTAGCTGTCCGCCAAATTTTTCGATGACCTTCTTCCCTAGAAGCTGCTCTTTATTCTGCTGGAGCACTTCGGCCAACGGTTCGCCGGTATCCAGCTTACGAGCAGGGAAATCTGGGTAATCTCCAAACCACATTTCCGAATAAAACTCGTCATCTTTGATATGGAAATCAGTTCCGGGGGTCTGCGCACACATCTGTGCTGCCAGAGACTGTTTTCCCTTCTTGCCCCAGGGGTAGTTATTGCAAGAGCCGCTCAGCTGGAAAACGAGTTGAGGCGTCATTTTGACGACCGCGATGCGCGTTAGATTTAATTATTTACTTTACTTTGATAGAGACAATACGTTAGATGGAATGTCTAAAGAAGAAATTGACTAGGTGAATCTTCTTCTAGTATCTATAATAATATTAGGTGGATGAAATGATGACTGCTTTCTAGCATGATCTTGTTGCTGGAAATTGTTATATTCCCTTTTCTACACAGTACTTAAAATCTGCCACCGTGTTGTTGGCATGTCGTCATAGAAGACGTTTGTGTTAGACCTCAGGCATGTCATTACGTGGGGGTTTGGGGGATTAGATGGATTTAATAATACCTGATGAATTAGCACTTGATGAATGCGGTCAATATCTGCTACGACGCGTGGCAATCTAACCCAGAGTTCCGTTCAATCAACAATCACCCTTAAAGTAATACGAATTGTTTAAGAATAATCATGGAGAAATCGATGCCAACTCCTAGCGACTACGTACGACGTTCCACATGGCTACCTCTATCATCTACAAAGGCGATATGACCGCCTAAACGTAAATTGATCGATCGATCGCCCAAATGCGGCTGAGCGCTAACCCAGGGACATTGTCATAGAACCGGTTTTATAAGACCCCTACATTGAAAAAAGCATAGAGAAACCAGCTACTTTCTAGCGACTGATCTCAGAACTGAGGTTCTTGGAAATGGACTTTCCAAGAATAAAATGTCAATTGACTATTGGCCCTAGAAAATAGTAAACCGGCTCTGCGCTAAAAGGAGTTCGGCCTCTAGATCTTCATCACCAGACTTAGTTCTCTAGAGAGCCATCGACGTCATCGGCCTAGCTAATAGCCAATTGGTCAAGTACGAACATCGCCTTTTGAATAAGAACAAGAAATCATGGAAAATTCGAGGCGCCGGGCGTGTACTAGTTCTATCACCACGTATATAAGTTGGAGGACTTGTTCAACTCGGCAGATTTAGTTCTTTAAGAGTTGGCTGGCTGTTACGCACAACCTACACAATGTCTACTAACCAAGACAAAAAGCGATATGGCTCTTCGGACCAAAACCTAACTAGTACCAGAATCGCAGACATCCTTCCGGTTCCGCCAACGACACAGCCTGTTAGCGAACCCGAGAAGCAAGCAAAGGCAAATAGTCTAGCTGAAGAACCAACACTCTCTCATGCTTTGGCGACTGACGACCATGAAGAGAAAGGGCTGGCTCAACAAGAACACGACGAGGAGGTAGTTGATTTAGGTTGGAACGAGAAGAAGCATGATATTCCTGCGCCGTTAGTCGGAGGCTTGGACAACGAAGATTTATGGCTTCTTGTTCGTAGATTTAACAAGGTACGATAAGGTCGCTTGGACTCGGGTGGCTAGAGTACTAATAGAACCGACTCGCAATAGCAAGTATACCAAGTCAAAGAAGTTCTCGCTGCTGTGCCTGGGGATCTGGATCTAAATATCGCCGACGAGGAGGAATTCTCTCCCGATAAATTACGCGCTAATATCGAGCGTTTTTACATGACCGTCGTAGTAGGATTACTCGCAGCTGTGAAGCATGTTGCACGGTTACGCTCGTGGCGTGAGGCCCGACGGACCTCGTATTTTTGCGCGGTAAGCTTTGCCGAACGATGACCATAGATGATTGTCATTACCTCTCGTGGCCAATACTGACAAGCACATACAGGCTTACTTTGTCGCTTGGGCGTTTGATATGATTGTCCCACTTCTAACATTGACTTTGATCATCTTGATCGTCTACCCGCGGTCGAGGGAGATTTTATTTCCACCAGCGCCCCTCGCTTTGGTAGATACCAAAACCGGCGGCGTACAGAAACCTAAGGCTGGCGTTCTTGGTAGTACCGAAAGCCCAACTGGGGCACCACAGAACTTTAAAGGCGAGGCTGTAGAGCAGGAGGCTAGCAACTTCGTCAATATCTTTACTTCCATCGTAGTTACTAGCGCCACGGGAAAACACCCGCAAGGAGCGCCCTCGACAGAGACAGGTTCTCCTGACGATGCCGTGCCCGATCCTACGAGGGCAACTATAGCAGCTGCCGAGGCAAAAGACGTTGCGGCTGGAGGTAAAGCCGGCCCGAAGCATGATAAGACTAAAGTTCCTGTCGAGACGGCAATGTGGACAAATATGAGACCTATCATGCACGGCATCGCAGATGTGTCAGATACGTGGGAGCGATTCGCAAACGCTCTTTCTCCTACGCCGCCGTTCCCAAGGGAGGTCTATAGACTTAGGCTTGCTACTTTGATTGCACCCCTCTTCCTCATCTCCTTGTTCGTCACGTCATATATGTTTATGAGAGGGGTGACATTTGGAGTAGGTGTTGGCTTCTTCGGGGATCCCATCATTTCACGCGGATTAAAGTGGCTTAACCACGCATTCCCTCACTGGCAGAAGCTCCTGGAGCTTCGCAATACGGTCCTCAAAGGTGTACCAACCAATGCGCAGTTGACACTCACTCTGCTTCGCACAGGCGAGGCGAATAAGGCACCTTTACCACCACCTCCATGCATCAACGAGCCGCCCCCCGAGAGGCCTACGGAAGTCACTGATGCCGAATTGCGAGCCACTGGGGCCGAACCCCCGTTAAACGCGACCGACGAAGAGCTTCAGGAGGCCATGGAGCACGATCCACGAACTGCATACGAGACTGGTGGTTCGGACATAGATGCCGCAAAGGGCTCATCCAAGCACGGTAAGCGTGGGAGTAAGATTATAGGTTTCTTCAAGGGGACAACGAAGGGCGCAGTTAAGGCGGCCATTGGGTCCGATCACGCTCGGGCGAAGGCGGGATCTCATCACGCCAGGAACCGTCTGGGTGCCGTTCCACGGTCGAACACTAACCACGTTTCTGGACCTGTCGATTTTAAGAGTCGCTACAACGGTAAGAAAGGACATGTATATATCACTACGAAGTCGACGATCCCAGCGGTATCCTTTAGCACGGACGAGACAATCGAGAAGATCGGGTCGGCGGAGCGAGAAGATTTACACCCGCTATGGGCCGTGGCAATCAACGATATCGCCGAGATTAAGAAGGTTGGCGGATACGGATGGAAGGCTAAAATCGTTGTGGGCTGGTCTCTGGGTAGAGAGGTGGCTGACGGGTTGGAGATCACGGATCGGACGGGGAATGTACGGCGCATCACTGCCCTGCCTATGAGGGATGAGTTATTTAACCGTCTCGTGGCAATCGGAGGACAGAAATGGGAGGCCTGGTGAGAGGCTCACGACCACAAATTTCCCGATATTTTCATATGTCTAACAGAAAGGGGTAGTGCAAAAGCATGTCCGGGCGACTGATTAGTCGCTATAGTTTTACTTCTTTGTATATATAGTAGAGAACGTGTAGGATAAGGGCATATATAATCTTTCAATCTATTATGTAGTCGCGATACTAGAGGCTCGCATCTACTAATACGGATGTTATGGTCTACTCCGCTTCTGAATAGGTCGCTCACGTATTCAGTTCCATGCTATAGCTTCTCTTGACTACTTAGAATACATGAAACCCTCCAGCCTACATAGGATAATCACAACCCTTATCATGAATCATATCAAGTGTATTGAAATAAGATCTTCAGTATCATACCTATCGGCTATGCGGGCTGAATTAAAATTACGACGGCTATGCAAGTAAAGTGACATCGCAACGTCGTAAAGCCTGAAGATCATAGAAGCTGGAAACATGCGATAATGACATGCAATGCTGATGTAGGTCTATAAAAAGGGGTGTTTGGTTCCATCTCTACTTTAGAAGCATGTCGCACCATCCCCCAACTAAATAATCATTACAATGCGTATTCATCTCCTAATTCTATCAACTCTCCTCCCTGCCGCCTTTGCGCGGCAGTCCAGCTGTGCGGAGGACTGCGAATCTTGTGGCTGGTATTGTAACCAAGGTTGTAGCGCACCGCTAGTAAGCAGCGATTGTAATCGATGCCTTTACTGCCGGCGTGAAAGCTCCTCGTGCGGCTTTCTGGATGTCGGCAACACGTGGACACATGACCCACCAAGCAAAGACTTGTGTGATGCTTGCAATGAGGGATGCTGGTGTCATGGCGACTGGTATTGCATGGACAACGCTACAGGCCCTCCTCCACCCTCCCCTCCTACTACTACACCAAAGGCAACTGTAGCTAAAGCCACGAAATTACCTTAGGAGGTCATAGAGGGAAAGGGCAGAAGGGGAAGGAGGAATACGGGTTTTATGTGATTTTAGATATATAGAAACCTATGAGATCAGATCTGTATATATGTTAGGTACTTTAGGGACTAAGGGTAACCTGATGAAATAAAGCCTGTGGGCTAGAGTTAAGCCATGAAACTCTGAGATGAACTGTTGATGTCGCTGGAAGCTCTTTAGTCCTAGATGCTTCGGTAGTTGGGATATCTGACACTCACCTATTAGAAGCATCTCAATAGAATCTCCAATGGATTAACGTAAATGCTTTGGAAACTCAGGCTTCTTAGATTTCCGTAGCGGTCTCATACAACTCCTGACTCTTGAACAGCAAACTGATCTTTTTCAGAGTCTAATGTAGCTAGCGCATCGAATGGCAAGGTGACCATCGGGGTTGTATGCCCAACATCAACATTAAATAGAATGGGGAATTCCTTCTTAGAGAGCGGACCATCGCATAAGAGACCTTTGATGACACTGATATATTTTTCTCTCTGCTCCGTAGAGTCGTACCCGAATGGCCGGCCTACTACTAAGCCCGCGGCTTCTTCAAAAACACCCTGGGCAATAAGATCTGCAATGCCAGCCTTGACCCGATCTATCGGGTTTCCCGATCCAAACTTTTCCCCGGTAGCCGTCTCGAAGAATATAATCCGGCCTCGCCAATCTGGAACGATGTGTCGCACCCCGTTGAGACGTGCCATAACGGATAGACAGCCACCGAAGAGCCGTCCTTGCGCCTTGCCTGACCGGAGCCATATCCAACCGGGAGTAGGAACGAGCTCTGTCTTGTGTATAGATGCCGGATCGTGGAACCAAGAAGGATGCCTATGCGCATACGTTGGCGATCGTGGGACGTCGCCAATAGGTTTGCGATCCGCGATAGCACGGAAAAGGTGTTTAATACAGAATGCAAGTGGCAATGCTTCATCGTCAACTGATTCGGACGCGCCGAGCTCTGGGATGACCCCTGGCCCGTAGAAGGTACGGAGTCCCGTAAATGCGTGTAAAAACCAGTGTAAACCGGTAATATCGGAGTAGCCTACGACTATCTTGGGGTTGGCACGAATGATATTATGTAGATCCGTATCGGCAATCAGACCTGGTAGCAACTCCGTGAAGGATGGCCCACCGATGGTGCAGATGATGGCGGAAACCTCAGGATCTATGAATGCGGCGCGCAGCTCGGATATGCGGTTGGTGATAGATGATTGAATGCCTGTATCCTTATTATAGAATTCTCGAACGTTGTAACCCCGTCCTTCGAGTACGGCGGTAGCTCGGGACACGACAGCAGGATATTGGTCATTAAGTCGAGCTGAGGGCGAGATGAAGGCAATGGTTGCACCTGGGTCCAAAGCCTTTGGAATTATGATTGAAGGCATTTTAGGTTATAAATATGTTGTATCTGACATCTAGTTGTATGGTCTGCTGGTGTCGGTAGCTTGGAAAAATACTTATATTACTATTAAGTACGGAGACTCGATTGTTGGAGGTCTGTCGTGGGTTATACAAGAGGATAACCCCCCGACGCGGGGTTAAGGTAGAGAGTACAACGTGTATAGTAAGCCGAGACTATGGATACATCTATAGTGTATCAATACCTATAGAACTGATCTCACGACTCTTATTGGCTCGGGATGATACACTTATCTGTTCGTGAGATATTAAGATTTAATTAAAATGGTTTTCGTGTTTTAAGATAGAAGCGAAGGACGATTAAGAGAGCCAGGTGTATGTAGGAAGTATATACCTAATATATTAATTAGTATTAGACAAGTGGTTGAAGTGTGTCTCAGTTGTTTTATTTCATTAACTAGAAGATTAGGACAGTCAACTTAGAAGTCGTAGTGATTGTCATATGCATGGATGCATGACATTAGATAGATCAATGCAAGGTAGGAAAGCGGCTCCATTCAGCTGGGACCTCAACGACAACCTTATATTGAGTCCGAAATCGGAGAGAGATTTGAAGGTTTGAAGAAGCTGGTCTAAGTACCTAAATTACCTAGTAGGTACCTAGCTGCATGGTAGGTAAGACGCGATTGACCCACACTCAGGAACCTCTTTAAGATTTCCCCTTTATATAGTTAACATAACTGAAATTCTTCCTATTTCCTAGGTAAATGCCAACCTAAGAGGGCAACTCCGCTATAATTCACCGTAATTCAGACTTTAGATTACAATGAGATGTATACACCTTTTTATAGAGTCAGAGCGGGAAGCATCCGTATGTGGGTCACAAACGCGTCGACAAGTCCCGACGTGCGACAATCACGCGATGGTAAGAAAGAGTCTAAGTTAGGGTTAGCGAAATGATGATAAGGAGTAGCTTGTGGAGATTTGGCCCGAGCAGCATGCACGAACCCCCATAGCAGCCCGTAGTTCCCGTCGTTTGCTTCTTTAAGGTCCTAACCTAGGTAGTTGCCCAGTAGCCTGGGTAACCTAGCAACCCGGGAAACTGCAAACAGACAGACTTCAGATAAGAACTGCCAAATATTTTTCTTTTCTTAAATCGGCTTTCCAAATCTTACCTTACCACTTAACAACTTTCCAATCTTAAGACGGGAAACCACATAGAAGCACATACGCGTATCATCATCGTAACTTATCATCGCCAACAATGTCTTCTGCTTTTGTTCAGCGCCCGGCTCCGGCCTTCACTGCTACTACCGTCTTCCCTGGTGGCGAGTTCAAGGACATTTCCTTGTCGGATTATCTTGGTCAATGGTTTGTCTGCCTTCCTGTTACTCCTGTCACTAGCCATGGTCGTCTCTACATCTCCGTCCGCATCTCCGTCTTGCCGACGTAGTGCGTGCGTGCGTATGAGCTTCTCGTCCCGTACTAATCCTCGTTTACAGGGTCGTCCTTCTCTTCTATCCTCTTGATTTCACATTCGTCTGCCCGACCGAGATCATTCAATACAACGATGCCCTGCCGCGCTTCCGGGCCATCAACACTACCGTCCTTGGTGTATCAACCGACTCTCACTTCTCCCATCTGGCCTGGACTGAGAGACCTCGCAAGCAGGGTGGCCTGGGCTCAGACTTAGAGCTGCCTCTGGTGGCAGACAAGTCGCACAAGATCTCTCGCAGCTATGGCGTTCTGATCGAGGACGAGGGTGTCGCCCTACGCGGTCTCTTCATCATCGACCCCAAGGGTGTTTTGCGACAGATCACCGTTAATGATCTTCCCGTCGGACGCAACGTCGAAGAGACAATCCGACTTGTTCAGGCGTTCCAATTCACCGACGAGCACGGCGAGGTCTGCCCGGCAGGCTGGCAAAATGGCAGCAAGGGAATGAAAGCCGATCCCAAGGGTAGTCTAGAGTACTTTGCTGCTCAGGATGCTTCGGCTGAGAATGGTCATGTCAATGGAAATGGCGAGTCTAAGAAGCGAGCCAGAGTGGATTAGACCACGAGGGCTACTTATGGAGAAATTGGAGAAGCAGAGACCACTGACGTAAGTGGTCTAGATGGCTACCTATGTACATTAGATTCTTACGAATCAGGCTCTGGCGATGCCTTAATACCGGACAGGAGTAATTAGACCGTGCGTTCTATCTTTCAGGGGAGCGTGAGCTCTTCCATGAAGCACATAATAGCAAACCTTATCATATTCCAGTCTTGGGTGTTGCCGTGGTGCATGCTCTACCAGTCAGGTATACCTATCTTTTGTTTTGGAGATGCGTTCGACGTCTCCAACTTGAGTAGTGGGTATTTGGAGAATTGACAATGGCGTAATCACTCTCCTATTATTATCCATCATGTCTTTGCTCGGTCTCATTATATCATATCTTTAAACGCTGTTCTGTTAACAGTTCTGACACGCTAACACAGCTGTGGTAATAATGCGATTCGTCTCACGGCGTTTATTGAAGGAGAGTCGCTGGGGAATCGATGAAGGATGCATCATCATCGCTGTGGTAACTATGGTTTCTTGTGGCGTGGCCATATTTTCTAATTGTGCTTAACTTGCCGTTATTCTCATGAGAACTATATACACATCCTTCTGTTCATTTAGGACTTGGTCGACCAGGAAACTACAGATGATGATAATTGGCTAATATAGGCAGATCTAATGAATACAATTGAATCGAGGAGTTGTGGGCTAAATCATTCAACTAAAACTTTGTATGTAGTTGTCTGGTTTAGTATTGTTTCGATCTAGTATGAACACTTCACTGGCCTTGCGACTTTACCTCTCATTATTTTCTGTTACTGAATTATAAGTTTTTACACAGTGAGACCCATCTGTTCGAACACCTTTCCAAAGCTACCTCTCCAAGTTTCCTCGGCCAGCTTTCCAAGTCCTACTCCAATCTCTTTCTTGAATGAGCCATCTTGCTCAAGCTGCTCTAAGCTGTCGAAAGCTTCATTTATGTATTCATCTAGTGGCATGGGTGGGTAAGCCTTCTCCGAGCCGCCTTGTATAACGTTTAGGTTTTCGCGATGCTCATGATCGAGGCCTGTATCGACATATGGTGGGATGATTTCAACTATACTTAGATTCTTCTTCGCCTCTTCCGGGGCGAAACTCAATTGTTGTCGTAAGATTTTGGCCAGTGTCTGGAGACCAGCTTTGCTCGAACAATAGGCCGGGTAGAAGCTTAGCGGGACATAGGCTAAAGCGGAGGTAGTAAGAAACAAGTTCGTTTTGTTTCCTGCCTTTGCCAACTCGAAGAGGTGCGGAGCAAACAGGCGAACGAGAAGAGAGGGGGCCGTTAGGTCTGTATTAATCTCGTTGATAATGGCTTCGGGGCTAGAAGTTGACGGATCAAAGAGGCTATAGCTTTTCTGGATCCCGGCATTGATTATGACGGAATCTAGACGGGGGAAGTCCTTCAGGATGCTTTCTACGTTGGCTGCAAGGCTGGTTAAATCGGCAATGTCGAACTATCAAATCATTTAGCGCTAAAAGAACATCTTGGGTTACAAGGTGTCAGTTACTCACCTGGCGTGTCTCAAGGCCTTGTAGCTCTTGAGCTAACGCATCGAGTTTGTCTTGTCTACGACCTGTAACAATGACCTTTTTGCCTAGACTGTGAAAGCGCCGGGCAAACGCCTCTCCAATGCCCGAGGTAGCCCCGATGATGAGGATGGTGTTGATTCTTGAAGACATTTTTGTTAAGCAATGTCAATAATTCCGTTCTGATTTCCGAGTAGTGTTGGTTCTTAGGTGCCGAGAAAAAGAATAACTCGAGCTGGATAACCCCCCTTATTTATGTTCGAGGTAGCAAGTAATAGCCAGGTAGCAAGACTGACGAATTCATTTACTACAGGCTTGAATTCGTCATTGCAATAGACTTAGTCGAAGTATTAGATGGCTTACAAATTCTGTCTCTATGACATATAGACCTAACGGTACCCCAGACGTAAGAGTCGTTACCTAACAGGTTGCGGCTTCGCTAACATTATTAAAAGTGGAAACGTTGCCGTAAAGTCGGGTGCTGGTGGACATCATTCTCGGAGGGAGATACTAGGCTGCAGAATCGGGATTCATCGAATCAGATTTCTAAGAAAGGATTGGTAATGATGGAGTTTAGGGTGGGTTTAGTAATAATTCCGATGGGATTACTCTAACTCCAGTTCATCTCATCTACAGTTCAACTTGGCGAATACAAATGCTCCACTCTCGGATTGTTTCTCGGATTGTTTCTACGCCCGGAGAGACGTGGTCGCTTTTCGGTAACGAGACGGGCAAGTTGAGGTTGGATATCATATTAGGTAGGTAGGTACCCGTTGTATTGTTTCTATACCAATATCTAAATAAATTATACAATCATGGACGTATCATATGCATGAAAACGTCTAGTTAGGCTATAATATATTTCATCTTCGTAATTCATGAAGCATCCCAGTCCGTCTCAAGAGGCAACATGCGGTGCAAGTTAACAAAGGAAAGTAAGTCAAAAAAGAGTGTGTCAGCATGAAATCTCATGTTATCTACCTTCAAGCTGCCCTTCCATTCAATAGTATCTGACGGCCCTCCTCCCAACCTCGGTGATCTGCTATCTCTGTTATCGTCATTCCGGAGTCATCTCTAGCATCGAGGTCGACGCCGGCTTTGTCAATGAGGAGTTTAAGTATATCTGCGTCGCCGTTCTCGATAGCTTGAATGTAGGCGTTGTGACCGCGGTATATCTTATTCGGGTCAGCGCCATGTTTTAGGAGCAACTCGATAATATCGGTGTCAGCTCCGTGAACTCGTCGCAGAGCCTTCACTATAGGAAGGTGTTCGCCGGGTGCATTGACATCGGCGCCAGCTTCCTCCTACATAGGCACGACAGTAGAATTAGCAATTCAAACCCGCACATACATGCCTCTTTAGGGGGTCTGGAATGGACTTACCAGCAAGTAGTGTACTATTTCCTTACGATCTTCGCGGATGGCCGTCGTCAGCGGGGAGAAAACACCTCCATTTCGGTCCTCTACGCTTACGCCCGCCTCGAGGAGTAATTTAATGCTCTCTAGCTGATCGGCTACGACAGCCATCTCCATTACGCCTTTGAAAGCACGTGGTTCTGCCAACGCCGGCAGTAGGCGCTTCAAGATTGTCGGCTGGTGTACTGCCATGCACACTGGCCAGTTTTCTCCTCTGACATTGGGGTCGGCGCCACGGGATAGGAGAAGGTCCTGTTAATTGTTAAGAGCTGATCGTCGATACGCCGGAGAGCTTAGATGGACGGATGTACTCACCACCAAGTCGGCACGATTCTCGCGAATTGCCGTAGTCAACGGCGTAGCACCGGTCTTGGGTGCCTTGTCGTTAGGGTTGACTTTCCCAGTATCTAATAACCAGTATAATGCTTCAACATTTTTGAATTGGACGGCAGTCTCGAGTATACCCTTTGGAGAGTTGAGGTCGGCACCTGCAGCGACGAGAGGTGCTAGATACTGCGTCCGGTAATGCGTTACGCACTTGAACGTAGGATATTCTGCGCTCGGCACATTCGGACCTAATTATTGGGCGAGTACGAAATTAGATCACTTCCGAAAGTATAATATTTGGATATACACAGATAATCACAAAGGAATCCCAAGTGGAGCGAAATGTGGTTAAAGCTTACCTGCACCGTTTGCGAGCAGAAGCTCAAATATATCGGTTCTGTTGTCGCGGATAGATGAGCAGAGCGGCGTATAAATACCATCTTTCTTAGCATTCGGATCGACTCCAGCCTTCAGCAGTACACGAACAGCTTCTATGTTGTTGATAGATGTCGCTAATTCCATGATTCCGGGGGCTTTTTTAGGGTCAGCACCACGGGCCAGGAGCAGCTCGAGGATTCGAGGCAGCCCTGCTGCTGGCCAAAGCTTTGACAAGTTAGTGTTTTATCCGAAAAAGAATTAGATAGGGGACTCCGTTTTATATACCATGTGCTTTGGTCCGGGGAGGTTGGGGTTGGCGCCGTGGTCTAGGAGGCTTATCACAACTTCGATGCGGTTCGACATAATAGCTTCAAAAAGGGGGCAGTGCCCTTCTCTGTTCTTCACATTGGCATCGGAGCCATAATCAAGGAGCATATCAATAACCCTCTTTGTCCTCTTCTTGATTATAGCTGCCATTAATGCGGTATCTCCATTTGTCATAGTATGATTAACATCACCTCCGTAAGTTAGGAGGATGCGAGTGAGATCGGATTTGTCTTCGGCGACAGATATGGCAAAGGGCGTCTCGCACTCCGGACCTGCCGCGAGGTTAGGATCTGCTCCGTACCTAGAACAGAATAACATCAACTGTTAGCAATTTGCTTTATCTATACTCTTTGCTTTAGAAAATGGGAGACCGGGTGCCGAGATGAAGAGATATAAATATATCAGAGGGAAGTATCTTGTTCCCGCCTAAGGGGTACCCCTCGATTCGCTTACTTGAGTAGCATTACGACAGCGTCTCGGAAAGATTCCTCGACAGCTAAAAGCAAAGGTGTCATATTGCGGTTGTCGGGAGCGTTTGGATCAGCCCCAAAGAGCAGGAGGATACGGACAATTTCTGCGTCGTGGCGCATAATGGCCTGATTTAGGATATGGGCCTCAGGGCTACTGTCGGGAGAAACGCCTCGATCCAGTAGCTGCTCAACCAGTTTGTGATTTCCCGAGTCTACTGCGGAAAGCAATGCTTCTCTCAACGCGGGCGTGTTTGCTCCAACAGTATTCCGTGGGCTCCATCGGGGCATGGTATGAGGTTCAGCTTTCAATCGAATGACTTTATACGGCTCAAACGAGTCCAATTCTTCGATAAGCGTATCAACCTCAGTGATGCCCCCCGAAGCCGCTGTGCTATGCGCAATAGACCGGTCCACGGTTTCAACTGTAGATACCACTCGTTCTCGGGCGCCACGAGAAGACGCCCCGCTGCCGACGGTATAGTTGGATATCGAAGGCTCGCGATGTATTTCAGGGAGAAGGTGCAGGCCTGGATTGTGTACCTCTTCACGCGCTCTCAGGGATGAATGATCCGTAATTGAACTTTTGCTATTGGGCGGGAGCGGCCAGATAGGTGGAACTTCGTCTAATTGGTGACTGACGACGGTGCTGTTGCTGTGAGACTTCAGTCTGGTAACGCTCCCTACACTCTTATTCCTGGACATGCGGTCCAGAGCGGCGGCTAGACCCGTGTAGCCAATCCCAACAGACTCGTCTATCTTAGCATCCCCGAGGGACCATTGGAAAACGAGAGCGCTCATCCTCAAGGCCTCACGAGTCTTGGCGAGGTTGTCTTTCATTTTTTCAACGTCGTTATCGGCGAACATTTTGCGCCATCCTTTTTGGATCTTTCCCATCGTACCCTTCTTCTCGTACTCTAGAAGCCGACCCAGCATATGATCGAGCACTTGGAAATCGGTATTAGCAGCTTTGAATTTCTTGTCGAGTTCCGTAATCATCTCAGGTGGGAACCTCTGGTTGCTCCTAGAACATTCGGCTAAGCCAGCCTCGAGCGACCACATTATCCGGCATGTCTCTAGGAAATCGTGTGCTAGCTCGTCGAATTGATGGCCATGCTTTTCTACGGTTCCTACATACTCGAGCATATGGATTGATATCTTGTTCCCAAGGACTGTGGCCTTGTGGCATAGGCCAACTACTGACTCGATGGAGGGGCCCATGACCGCTAAGAAGGATTTTAGGTAACCCTCGATCTAGTCGCAAGGATTTATGCGATATGATTATGATTATTACTAAAGATGATTGCTCTTGATATGGGCACGTAGTATCGCTTCGAAGGAGTAGTAAGTATTTTGTCAAAAGGTAGAGTCTCGAAACAGGACTAAAGGGTCCTCGTTAGGTGGTGGCTGGACCAAAGGCATTTATGTGAAAGGCTGCCAATCATCTAAAACTCAGCTGTGTGGATCCTTGGACATTATAAGTGTACTGCGTAAGGATAGAAATCGCTAGACAGAGAAATCCTAACTTAGCATGAGTCTTGTCTTCGGACTCTGCATATAATACCTTGTTGCTCCTAATTTTGCGCTTGCATCTGTCAATGCGGTCGACCATTAGGCTGTCCATACGCGTTTACGCTCTCAATGTCAAGGATCAGCCCTGCAAGGTTTTCGTTTATCTGGTGGACAGATCGAGAGGATCCTCATAGGTTTCGTTCCTGACGTACGCAGTAGTGCATGTAGCGCGTATACATATGGATATTCCGCCGTTGCGACAGACTAGCAGCTCTCTCCATTATATGTGAAAATCACTGAAATTCGGTACTCACATTTTATTATGTTTATGCTGGGATTGCAGGACATTAAGCAGCGAATCTTTTTTTATAGCTAGCTTCCTCAATTTGAAGGGGCTGTAGTCTAAAGGATTCACGCAAGTTAAGTAGTCTTGAAGGCAAGGATTCTTTATAGACCCCGCCTGTAGAGATAGGTATTGCTTTCTGGCGGAAAAGTAAATATTAGATTATCTCTCTGCCTTCGAGTACCTACCTCATGCTAAATAGATAGATTTGCGATTACATGGGACTAAGCATTCTTGCCATCTTACCCAGATCGCAGTTTAGCCAAGAAGCCCCTCCATTGTGGTGAATCAGGATCGATTATGGAGAAGAAAAAAAGAAAGCATACCCGATTCTCCGGATGGAACCCTAGGTAGCTAAAGAGAACTGAGCCCCGAGGCTCGCAAGGTTTTATCACGCTAAGTCTGCACCGGCTTCGACTCCGGATTCAGACCTCGCGGCGCCAGTGCCTTAGCAGCCTAGAAGGCTCGGTAATTATTTACTAATTACGGAAGTTGTCCAGGCCATTGGTATAGCTTCTCCATCCCCCCACCCCCATCTTGAAGCCCCTAGTGTATAGCTAATGTCAAAGCGCTATTGCACGTTATTCTATAAGCGTTCTTCATTCAAGAAGTTTCTACTAGCTACGTTCGGTTTAGAATAATGTCGAAGATCTTAGTATTCATGAGGATTTTTCTTCTTTTTGATCTGAGGTTGGACCGAGGCCTAGGTCGATAGATCCTGTAAGTAGAGGATGCTTAAGTTCCTCTGGCTTTAGGTTTCCAATATTATGCGGTCGCTTTTGCATATGGTACTATACCGGGTAAATTTCAACGCAAAGGTCAAATAAGCAGTGTAGGTAATGAGTCTCATTAAATGAGACGACATCTGATGGTATTTTATTTTACTTTAATCGCATTTCTTGAATCCATCTCCAATAGTCTCGTGTCGACTTATTATTCTACACGCACTCAAAATGGTATAAGGTTTCCTCACGACAATTTATATAAGTTTCATTATTCGGTGTGCCCTGAGAGGGAATAAAACTTTATTAATATAGGAGCCGGTAGGAACTGTATCAAGAGACAGAAAGTTGACTATTTTACGTTATTAGTCTCTAAAGCTAGGTACCTATCCGACTTTACTAGTAGGATATCTATTTTCTGGTCATAACATACTTGAGTCGAGTAATTTCCATGTTAACTCGATTGTTAGTACTTGTTGGTGTTTCGTTTTACACCTCTCGAGAGCTGCCCCTTGGTGAAGGAATTGGTATATAGCTTTAATAGATAACTTGGTCTCAACATAGATATTTTCCAGGAATTTATAGGGAACAATTATTCTCTCTTATGGTGTTTTTGAAATTGCAATTGGCACTATCATCAGCCCTTGAGATATTCTTAAACTAACGATGCCCGCAATTAATAAATGAGCAGTGTCTAAAAGGGTTGAGAAATAGAAATCAATGCTAATACTAATAAAGAATAAAATAGATTAAACAGATCTCGTAGCTTTCTTAACCCTATAAATAATACGATCATGATATAATAGCCATTGCCAGATAATTATTCGAAAGGGAAAGTTGCCCCAGGAGGGCTCGGAAATGTTTTCTCGAAGAGAGCTATGAATCTTAATAAAACGTCTTCTCTCCCTCCACGAGCCGGCGCAAACAGTCCAAATGGTTGCCCAACTCCGTCTAGTCTACCCAATGGCACAGTCCCAATCGGCCATCTAGCCTAGGATGCGTAAGACACCTATGTTGAGTCTGATGGGGCGAGGATAATATCTAAGCCGTTATCCCACATGGCTTTCTCTACCCCCTTTTCCAAGGCAGTGTGCCGAAGCATATCGCAAATTTCACGGTGTCGATACTCCGTCATACGGTTATCACGAGATTTGATTAATTCGGTCTGCGTGCCATAGGTCAAGTATGTAGGTATCATATTAGTCTGGTACTCTTGTACTAAAATATGGAAGGAAACTAGGGATATATAAGTAGGTAGAAGATATACTAACGACTGGGTAAGGATATATTGCTATGTTCCTCGTTCCACCCGATGACATCGGCTAGTGATTCCACATCTGGGCTGTGTTCAAAATTCGCTATAAATTCCTTCAGTTTCTCTGGGAAATCATGATCTAGTGCGTGTTAGTAAATCTTGTTCTAGGAGACTGAAGAATATATTTTCCATACAGGCCGCAGTGCCGAGGTTATCATCCCCCACACTCAAGCTGTTGCCGCTGTTGCCGTTAGCAATATCTAGGGGGTATCATTAGCCCCTTTACTTTTAAGAGCAATAGGGACGTGATTGTATGCGGATTCCTATGCGTAAATTAGAAAGAGATTTCATAAATCATTGAACATCCAAACAGAACCTGAAAAGGGGATGACTAACATGGTCATATCATTAGGGGTCTTAACTCCGGCGGGGAGCTCACCTCATAGACCCACTGTAGGTGTACCTAACATATCTACACTTCTATACACTTATTCGTCAAATCTTATGTATATATCGATAAATGGGTTATCTTAGGGGTCACATGGTGGTCATTAGGTACATTTCCGGCCAAGTCCGATAAGTTTTTCGTCCATGCGATGCGGAGCTTCGCGGATAGATTGGAGACCCGATTCCTGAATTCTTGTGCCGTTGGATCGCTCTGATAGTGTACTTGACTTGAATTTTAGATTGTCCGGGAATCTAGATTGACAAGACATCGTTTCCAGAATGGCGCAAACTTATCTCATGTGGGTTGCCGGTAAAGAAGAGGTTGGCGAAGAGGAACTGTAAGTTAACATTGCGCAGTAATTTTACCGTTATAGCGTATGTCTTGTTGATGAACACGATAGATTACCAGTAGAAGACCCCGCGACCGGAGAGACCTTTGCCTTGTGAGTCTGTCCATACATACTAACTAATAGGTATACACACCCTAATTCAGTTCTTTTATTTTTGACTAGTTGTCATGCGGCATCCGCGTCAGATGTTGAACGCACTATTGCCCGCGCCGAGGCGGCTTTTCAGTCAGGCGTTTGGTCTAGATCCTCGCGCCACTACCGCGCTGACATCTTAGACAAATCCGCGGCGCTCCTCACAGCGTCGCTGCCGAGCCTCATCGCGCTAGAGGTGCGACAGACCGGCCGCGCGATTCGCGAGATGAACGCTCAGGTTCCTTCGTTAGTGCGCTGGTTTAAGTACTATGCCTCGCTTCTGCGTGTAGAGGAACAGCCTGTCTTGCCAACAGCGGGGAAGCTGCATAATTTCCTCCAACGCGTGCCGCTTGGTGTTGTGGTTCAGATCACACCTTTTAACCATCCGTTGCTTATTGCCGTAAAGAAGATCGCACCCGCACTTGCCGCTGGAAATAGCATCATCCTAAAACCGAGCGAGTTAACGCCGTTATCGGCACTACTGCTTGGCCGGATCTTAAAAGAGGCGGGCGTCCCCGACGGCGTTTTCAGCGTTTTGCCTGGATACGGTGCTACGACCGGAAAGGCACTCGTACAGCATCCCCTAGTAAAAAAAGTAGATGTTACAGGGGGAACAGTAGCAGGGAGGGCAATCGGCGGAATCGTAGGCGGAAATCTGGCAAGATATACGGCAGAACTTGGGGGCAAGGCGCCGTTGGTTGTATTCGATACGGCAGACGTTCAGGTTGCTGTTAATGGGATTGCGTTTGGCAGTTTTATTGCCAGCGGTCAAACTTGCATCGCGAGTACGAGGATTATTGTGAATAATAAGGTCTTGTCGCAGCTGCTAGAGAAGCTGAAGGTGAAGACGGATTCGATTCTGCAACGCATAGGTGCCCCTAGCAACCCAGATTCAACGATGGGCCCTTTGGTCTCGGCAAAACAACTCAGTCGCGTCGAGATGTTAGTTGACGACGCCGTGAACAGCGGCAAGGCGAAAGCAATAGCAGGAGGACGCAGGATGCATGGTTTAAGTTCCCTAGATGGGACTGACTTCTCGAAGGGTTACTTCTACGAGCCCACGATTCTTGTTTCGGGCGAGGGCGATAGCATCCTCGGGACACGTATTTGGCGCGAGGAGGCCTTTGGTCCTGTAATCGTGGTCGTGGGCTTTGACACGGAAAATCAGGCTGTTAAGCTGGCTAACGACAGCGAGTTCGGCCTCGGAGCCGGAATCTGGACCCAAGACCTAGCGCAGGCTTTCCGAGTTTCAGAACAACTCGACGCTGGCATCACCTGGGTGAACACACATCATCGAAACGCTCCAAGTAGTCCGTGGGGTGGGACTAAGCTATCGAGTGGTGTTGGAAGCGAAAACGGTATAGAGGCTTATAATGCATACACGGCGATAAAGAGTACGATCATCAATTACGCTTCAACTGAGGAGTCACTCGGTACAGATGATTGGTTCAGCGACGGGGCAGGGCCTATAAGATATGGCTGAATCTCGCAATAGACTAGGTAGGTACATATCATGATATAAACGTCCTTCGCAAAGTTTCTTAACTACTCGTACTATTTATTACTGTTAAGTTTCATTATAGCAGGTAAGGGTAGAATGGATGCATCTAGCATGACTATGATAGTAGAATCGTTATTCTATTATATAGTACGATCTTCTGGCTTGAGATGGATTGTAATAACAGCAAAGCTTACCTTAGATGCTAGGGTGTTAAAAGAAACTTTCCCACTCCATACCAGAAAATCCCATGGACCAAAATTCGTTGACTTCACCAAGCCCCTCATCCCCTAGGTCGGGAACGGTGTCCCAAGTAGTGGTCTCTGTACCGGCCGTCACCCCGAGAATAGACTTAGCCTCGGCTAGGATTTCCCTCCCTTTAGCATCCATGGCTGGTTCAGGCGGGGTGCCGTCCATTGCTGCTTCGATCCCAGCAAGTAACACAGTTATATAGACTATATCTTTAACATTATGATGGCCAGCTTGGATACGTTGTTTCGTCCATTTGGCTCCTTCTCTAAGCCATGTTAGCAGCTCAATGTTGCGAAATTTGCTTCCATTTTGTTTCTGATTAAAGGAGACCACACCAGTCCACGGAGATGTGCTATGTGCTTCGTGTAGTGTTGCGGCCAACTCCACGGCAATGACCATGACGGCTTGCCAAGGCACAGACCTAAACGGAGCCGAGCCGCAGATAAGCAGACGCTCATAGTCGCAGCAGCAGCTCTCGAAAGGAAGTATGCTATGCATCGCTATTAGAACAGGGTTATGACGCGAGGACGAGAGCGGCAAGAACGAGGATGTTAATCTTAAAGCGGTGTCAATACAGATGGTTCGCGAGAAGTGGAACTGTGCTGGGTCTTTTAAAGCCCGGGGAAGATAATGCAAATGAAGAGAGAATATGTAACGGCTAAATATCAGCTCGAAGTATCGCTTTTGGAACGTTGTAGGTTGCGGATTCAAAGCATGCAGGTATTTCATCAAAGATCGATATTCAGCCATCAAATCCGAGCCAAGTCTTAGCGTCTCACGGTAGGAACTGTCAACCTTTATACCGTTCGAATATTTGGCAACCGAGAGTCGCATAGCAAAGGTCCGGCCTAAGGCTATTTGAAGCGAGGTATCGGTAAGTTCAGCCATATCATGGGAGGTGGGTTTGCCGTCTTCGCCGAGATCTCCTAGCTCGGCATCGTTTAGATTTAGGGGTAAAGAACAGTCATAGTCATCAGACGAGAACATCGGAGGTCCCGCAGCATCTATGCTAGATTCTAAAACCAGCTCGATAATTGTTGTCCATAAGCGCCGTCGCATCTCAGTTTCAAAAACAGGCATTGTTGGCAATCTCGTTGGATCGCGATGTAAACCGACACACATTGCAGCCCGAACCAAGGCGCCGGAAACGGCCCAGACATGGTTTTCTCGGAGATAATGGGCTGTCTGCCGAGCCAGATGCAAGAGGCACATTATCTGAATGTCAAACACCGTCATTCGAAGTTTTCCTGGAGATTCGAGCCAGTTTTCGGCTTCGCGTATCCATTGATGCGCGTGAGGCCGAAGTGAGAAGACGTCGTCGTAGAAGCAAGCGCCGACAGCAAAACAAAGCTGTAATAGAACCACCTGCGCCGGGCTCGCTAGGCCGGGACTTTCCCATAAGGTATTATAAACACGCTTAGTAGTAGGGATGTGAATGATTCGATATATCGTCTCGAAAGTGCGCAGGTACGCACCGAACAGAGCGTCCGCTACTCCTTTGGTTGGCAAATACGTTCCATAACGGCCCGGCGTCCACGAGAGGAGTCGTTTAGTTTTGATCGACCTCGCTAGCAGTTTGCAAGTCATCATTTCTTGCCATATCTTCCCTTGCTTTTTCATCTGTTCGTCAAGCCAATCTAAAGCATGCGGCGACTACTAGCGGGGTTAATATACTGATTTTAAACCTATCTTGGATTTACTATCATCTTACCAATGTCAACGAGAACATCCAATGAGTGGGAGAGATGTAGCGTTTTTTGATCATCATGCCTCTTATCGGGTAACTGTCCAAACACGTGGGGAGGTTGGAATGAGAGTGAAGGTCACCAGTACTCGACCGTCCGCTATCACGCAGAGGACTACCGCTTATCGGTAGATAGGATGCGGCATCGAGATCAAGCCTACTTTCGGGAGGGATGGAGACCAAAACCGATCCTAGTGCGCCTGAATGCCACACATCACAACGAGTTGATTCGTTTTCTTTCGAGCCGCCTTGCTCCTCGTCTTTGCCGTTCGCCAAGTTTGGAGGGGACTTTCTAGCGGTTTCGTCATCTCTTGAACTAACCGACGCAGAGATGATGGCGGTAGAACCGTCCTTGGGTTTTGGATAAGAGCATATTTTACTCCTCGAACGCATGCAATTACTGCAGGGATGTTGGTGGTCGCAACGGAGCTTTTTTTTCCGACAAGGTAAACAAGCGAGCGCTCTCCCGGGACGCGGATTTACTCGGGGAGGCTCATAATCCATACTTGGGATATACTAGAAACGCTATTCATAAGTCAGACTTGGTAGACAAGTAACCTAGAGTGATGTTGACACGAGTCAAAGGCGAACCAGCCCTTCGCCCGTCCATATTTCGCTTAGATCCACACCAAAAATCCGAGACGGACTCCGATCCCGATCCCGTGTTTCGTTCTGGAAAGCTTACGTACCTATTATCTTCGACCTTGAGCATTCTACCAGTATCCCCCAAATACGGTTCGGATATAGTATCAATAAATTGTTAAGCAATACGCTAACCTTACGTAGAATTGAGGGCGATGAAAACGTATTTGGATAACCCTACCACGGGGATTGCTTTCGAATGCTTTCTATGTGGGTAGTATCGTACAAATGCCATGCTGGCCGTGCTGGCCGTGCGTGCTATCCATTAGTTTTGAAGTTTCTAGCTCTCATAATCCGGGACTAAGCCGGTCATATTAGGAGAGTATACTGGCTCCTCGACATGCCTGTTATAGTAACCTAATTAACGACATCAAAATAATGGGAAATAATCGAGAACTCGCGGGATTGTACGGCTTGTATGTGTTGTCGCAGAGTGTTATATGACATTTGGAAGCATGCGGAGGAACTACAGTCCGACGACACGGGGATCGGCAGCCGTATAAACTAACCCGGCCCCTGAATCATGAAGAAAGTAGCCGCGCTTCAACGGTATAATACATCTTCTAGGTGGAATATAAAATGCCAGAAGTAGTACTGAAACATCACACACCGGCATCATCTTGGAATAGACATCGCGGATCAGTCTATAAATTATACTCCTCACCATCTATCATCTACTCTAGAACCAAGTGTCACCTATCCTTAGACTATGGCGACTAAATCTACAGTCCCAATCCCCGAGCCGCCGCAACTCCCGCTCTTGGGGTATGTTACCGGCATTGACCCGGAAAATGCTCTCATATCTTTTGCTAGAATTTCGGAGAACTATGGCGAGATCTTCCGCGCACGCGTGCCAGGAGCTAGCCTGGTATTCGTAAGCACGCATACCTTGGTTGACGAGGTTTGCGATGAAAAGAGGTTTCAGAAGAAGCCCAATGATGTTTTAACACAACTCAGGGCAGGTCTCCGCGACGGATTGTTTACGGCAACAAACGATGAGCCGAACTGGGGCATCGCCCATCGTGTCTTGATGCCAGCTTTTGGACCGAAGGGTATTCGGGACATGTTCGACGAGATGAAAGACATAGGTTCGCAGCTTGCTTTGAAATGGGCCAGACACGGGCCATACGCAAAAATTAACGCACCCGAAGACTTCACACGTCTTACTCTCGACACGATCGCTCTTTGCTCTATGGGATTTCGATTCAACAGCTTCTACTCCGAGGATTTACACCCATTCGTAAAAGCCATGGTGGAATTCCTTCTTGAGAGCGGACGGAGGGCACAGCGACTACCATTTCCTTCATTCCTTTATCGGACACGAGACAAAATATACGAATCCCACATTGCCGTCCTCGCCGAGACAGCTCAAGCCGTCTTAGATGAGCGACTTGCGGATCCCGAGAATGAGAGAAAAGACCTCCTCTCAGCTATGCTTAAAGGACGAGATTCGCTTAGCGGACAGAAGATGAGTGATGCTTCCATTATCGATAACTTGATCACATTTCTGGTTGCTGGGCACGAAACTACTTCTGGGATGTTGTCTTATGCCATGGTAGGTTAATCCTAGCCCTGAATTTGTTGCTATTGATCATCTTTTCTCGCATCGGGCGAGTATGCTGCATACTTGTCATAAGGTATAGGCTGCGTACCTGAGGTTGAACTAAATGATTAGTATTCTACCGATTCAAGCATCTGCTATACTTGCTCGAGCTTCTTGCTAATATTCCATGCCACATGTCACAGTATAGATTATTGAAGAACCCAGACGCTTACCGCAAGGTGCAACAAGAAGTTGATCAAGTTATCGGCAAAGGTCCTGTGACAGTACAGCACATGCAAAAACTTCCATATATCACAGCAGTATGCTACACTCCCCATGAAATGTTGAAAACGTGTGGCTTATAGAAATAGGTTCTCCGTGAAGCACTACGGTTAGATTCGCCAATCCCGATATTTGGAATAAGCCCCGTGGAGGATACATTGCTTGCTGGAAAATACCAAGTCCGCAAAGGAGAATTTATTCAATGTCTTCTCAGTAAAGCACATCTTGATCCAACAGTGTTTGAGGATCCTATGGCCTTTAAACCAGAAAGGATGCTTGACGAGAACTTCAGTAAACTACCAAAGAACGCGTGGAAACCATTTGGCAATGGTGCTAGAGCCGTAAGAAACCCACCAAGTTCTACCCCCTTGTCTTCTCACCGTGATAAGGCCTGGTGATAGCTGGCACTAACGAAAAAAAAAACGATATAGTGTATTGGTCGACCATTCGCGATGCAGGAGGCCGTCCTTACTATGGCTATTCTCTTCCAGAATTTCAACTTCGTCTTAGCAGATGCAGACTATGAGCTACGAAATAAACAGACCCTGACTATTAAACCCGATAATTTCTTCATACGAGCCATATTACGCGACAGCTTAGATCCCGTCAAGCTTGAGCATCGACTTTCTGGAATCGAATCAGTGTTGGACAAGCCGAAGACACGTGCAAATGGCCTAGACCATAAGCATATGGGTCATGATCAGCAGCCCATTGCTATCATGTACGGCTCCAACAGCGGCACTTGCGAGTCAATGGCTCAGCGGTTAGCTTTTGATGCTGCATCCCACGGGTATAGAGTATCTACTATGGACTGTATGGATGCTGCAGTGGAAAAACTCCCGGAGAATCAGCCCATTATCTTTATAACAGCAAGTTACGAAGGACAACCTCCAGATAACGCGGCCCATTTCGTTTCTTGGATTAACAGCATCGAAGATAAGTCAGCTCTCCACGGGTCGTCATACGCAGTCTTTGGATGTGGCCATCACGATTGGTCTCAGACATTCCATCGAATTCCTATACTCGTAAATACAAGGCTGGAAGACCTCGGCGCAACTAAGATTGCGGAATTGGGCCTTGCGGATGCTGCCCGGGAAGATCCATTTGTTGCTTTTGAGACATGGGAAGATAATGTAAGCGCTCTGTCATAAACCATCAACCAAAAACCTATCGAGGGCAGACAATGCCTATTTATAACTATGTGGTTTCTTTACGCTGACTTGCGCAGGTGCTCTGGCCAGCCCTAAATACGTTGAGAGTTGGTAAGGGATCGGACGGGCGGCCGGGAATGCACCATGCATCGTTGACGGTGGACGTATCGAATACGCGCCCATCTATACTTAAACAAAGTGTAGAAGAGGGGCGTGTGCTCGCAACCAAACTACTAACTGCAGACGGCGAACCTGCGAAGAAACATGTGGAAATTCAGCTCCCGGCCGGCGTTTCTTATATGCCTGGGGACTACCTGTCCGTCTTGCCTATTAACCCCAAGGAAACGGTCCAAAGGGCCATGCGCAGATTTGGATTACCGGTAACGTGGCTATTTTCTTTTGGTTATATTCCTGACTACGTCTTGCTTCTGATAAGGTTTTCAGAATCTCATCCCTTGGGTATTTACTAATCGCGTTGACCTTTTTATAGTGGGATACAAGCATCAAAATTTCAGGTACCGGTATTATAAGGCTGCCTACTAACGAAATGGTACCTGCTAGTAGCATATTGGGCGACTTCGTAGAGCTCGCCCAGCCGGCTACCAAACGAAACATCCTCACGTTGGCCGATGCAACCGACAGCGAGGACGATCGTAGAGTGCTGAAGAACCTAACCACCGAAAACTACGAGGTAGAAGTACTTGCAAAGCGAGCATCGGTATTAGACTTATTAGAAATGTTTCCCTCTATCAACTTAAGTCTAGGGTCTTTTCTGGCGATGCTACCGCCCATGCGTCTTCGCCAATAGTAGGTTCTCCCCACTTCGTCTTAAGCAAAGGATGTAAAGTAACAATAAAGCTCAGTTCTATCTCGTCGTCGCCGCTAGAGGATCCTCTGAAGGTCTCTATTACTTTCTCCTTGGTTTCGGGACGCGCCAAATCTGGCCGAGGAAATTACATAGGCGTCACGAGCTCCTATCTGGGAGGTCTTGAAACCAACGATAGACTTCGCGTGTCTGTGCGACCGTCTCATATGGCCTTTCACTTGCCAGATACTCCGGAGAAGACGCCACTGATTCTTGTCGCAGCGGGGAGCGGCATAGCGCCTTTCCGTGGCTTTATTCAACATCGTGCTGCGATGATCAGATCAGGCCGTAAACTAGCTCCAGCTGTGCTATATCACGGCTGTCGGGAACCGCGTAAAGATGATGTGTATTCCGCAGAATTTACCGAGTGGGAAAAGGCTGGAGCTGTTATAATTAAACGAGCATTTAGTAGAAAACCGGAGGAGTCAGGCGGATCCAAGTACGTACAAGACATCGTATGGGCAGATCGACTCGGTTTTCTCCGATTGTGGCAAGAGGGCGCACAGATCTACATCTGTGGCTCACGGAAGGTCAGCCAGGGGGTTGAAAAGGTCATCAAAAATATACGCCAGGAAGAATCGAAGCTAAAGGGGGAGTACCTGAGCGACGAAGACGCGAAAATATGGTGGGACGAGTTGAGAAATGTCCGATACGCCACCGACGTGTTTGACTAGATGGTATACCATTCGCATGAATTCGTCAAAAGCATTGATACGCTCAGCTCGATGAAAGATACCTACTATTAGATTGAAACTAGGTATATATGTATAATCCAAGATATCATACCAAAGAAGATTACCAGTTTTCGGGTGAAGGCCCTGAAACAGTAATGGGTCGAGTGCCCGAACCGAGGCGGCTTGCTCTGGACTGAAATGGCCTTTAAGACTCACTGGCAAAGGGTTCAGAGCGTAGTCGTGAGGAAGAAGATACCTGCAAACATTGCTATTGCTTCCGCTGGCCTCTACTAGAATCGTCTCTTCTGTAAATGTGTCATCTTCGAAATGTGTTCTAACCCCTCCCTCGATCTTTTCCGTCGATGTTAGCTTCTTCCCTTGTTGATTTCGTCTGTGAGGATACAACGTAGTTTCTGTTGGTTTAATATGAGCCGATTTTTTGATGGAGGGCTCCTGTAATGAATCTCGCTTCATAATACATCCTGTCAATATGCTATTTCGGCATTCAGGAATAGAAATTACCTCCATCGCTCTTCAATGATCTATCAACTACTCCTCGTCACCTATTAGCAGTGAAAGACAACGCAGGACGATCATACATATGTCAAAAATCTTACCGGAGCCTCAGTCCAATAGTTCTATTAAAGCGTTCAAATACCAATTCATCTTACTCGCTAACAGCAGTACAACCAAGTAGCACGGATTCGAGAACCCCGCACATGTGAGGCCATAGCTCATATCCCCTCACTCAAGACAGACTATGAACATGCGTCGAACCAGTCACATTTTTCTTCAAGGTGAAGAAGACGGGGAGATTAAAGGGCAATCGTGTTTCTAACCATTAAGCTCAAACAGCAAACCCGTTACCTGGGACAGAATGGCAGGGGTTATCGTTCGGCGATCGCGAAACGACTCTTCCAATTCCTACCAACTAATATAGTGTCTTTTACAGGCATTTGGCTCCTCGACTTGCTTATTTAGAAAATGGCCGTCTCGCGTTGATTGGATGGATTACGCTGCTTCGCTATAGCGTACGTACCTAAGGTATAAGACAAAACGCTGTTCTAAAGTGAAAACCTAACATTTATATATTAGGTACCTAGTAAGGCGTTTCTGTCTATTCTGTATAATACTTGAGATTAGTAAAAGGCTGTTGAAAGCTGTTAAATTCTGATATTCAAGACGTTTCGACTTTCTTGGGTTCGACGATGGTATCCGTTGCTGGTACGCATGCACATGCGAGTTTGATGCATGCCATATTATCTAGTTTTGTTGCCTCTTTATATTTTGCGTCCGCGTCACCAGTGTTAGCGGCCGCCGTCATAGGCTACCGAGACACGGCTGTCTCTGCAAACGAATGGGACCCCGTACTTCAGGAAACTGAAGGCGCACAATGCGCCGACCTTGCAGTAATTTTCGCTCGCGGCACCTTTGATAAAGGGTAAGGCAATTAAGTATTCGCTTGGGTCTGAGATGTGCTAATAAACTCAACTTGTAGAAACCTGGGGCCCTGGGTTGGTGGTCCGTTCCGTGATGCCTTGGTTAGTGGATCGACGGGTATTAATCTGGCAATCCAAGGCGTCAGTACTGATAACTACCCGGCCGATTTGGCTGGTTACGTCGAAGAAGGAGGGTCAAGCGGTTGCGCTACGAGTATTGGAGAGAGTGTGCAGAAATACGTCTCGTATTGCCCGGATTCTAAGGTCGCTATTTGGGGATGGAGGTAAGTCAAACTTATCAAATCTTTCTTCTTTCGAAACTTGCTATCGTTGCGAGTCCGAGACTAATGCGTTTGATAATAGCCAAGGCGCGCAGTGCGCACACAAAGCGTTGGGTGAACTAGACAGTGCGGTTGCAAATGTTATCGCGTTGGGGGTATTCGGCGACCCGATCAGCGTTTGGCAGGACAGCGTAGATTACCCTGCGATACCAGAAGACATCACGCTCCTGTCGTATTGCGAGAAGACAACTCCGGATCCTCTTTGTACCGACCCGATGGAAGACTTCCCACAGAATCCCAAGGCGTTCATCGACAGACTCAAGACTATCTGGGAAGAGGTAGATACGACGCATATGAACGATGCCCAGAAAGCAGCTGTTGGGGAGCTTCTAGTTGAGCTCCCTAAACAAGCCATAAAAGAACTCGGCCAGCTCGCGACGGATATCTCCCAAGGTCACCTACGACGCTGGATGCTGAGTCCGCAACACTTTTGGTACGGCATTGACGGGAAGGTTAAGACGGCCGTAGACGACCTTCTTCGTGTATATAATAGTCAAAAGTAGCTGAGGACTTGAGGAATACATGTAGTTATTAGAAATCATAATGTTGTGAACTTTCATCGTTTAGTTAGTACATGTACCTACCTAAACTTAGGTACATGTAGGCCCTAAACTCATCAAACTTGGCCTGCGCAAGTAGGAGGTAGTTATCGATAACGCTGCTGATAACTCGTTGGCTATTGGCCTGGTTTTAAGTAAGCGTCGGTTTCTCTCCACATCATCATCTACTTCGATCAGCTTACAACATCGTACAGGTTACTTAGCCCACATCTACGATAAACTTGCACAATTCAGTTTCGTGACGAGACGTCAGAAGATATTATCGTCTAGGCTCTCGTGATGAAAGCTGTGATCGCCATCCCTGCGACGCTCGCCCTCGTCTACCGGGCTTATTCGCACAAGTCGCTTACGCCGCTCGGCATCTTGACTGCTGCGCTGACCGCTGCCGCCCATGCTGTTCACCCTTGGAATTTACCTTTCGTGCTTCTCTGCGTCTTTTTTCTGGCCGGGACTCGTGTCACCAAGATAAAGGCAAATGTCAAATCAGGCCTTACGTTGCACTCGCAGGGAAGCGCTGGCGGCGAGGGCCCAAGGACACACGTCCAAGTGCTCGCAAACTCTCTAATGGCTTCTATTCTGACCCTTATGCACGCCTACCAGCTCCGCGCGCGGCGAGATACGGTAGTTACCCATAGGGAGATTCCGGAGGGCTCATTCTGCTATAGATGGGGCGGAGATATATTAGTTCTCGGCATAATCGCCAATTATGCCGCCGTTTGCGCTGATACTTTCTCCTCCGAGCTAGGCATCTTATCGCGCAGCTCCCCAAGATTGATTACGTCTTTCTCGCTGCGAAAGGTTCCTCCAGGCACAAATGGAGGTGTCACGTTATGGGGATTAGTCGCCGGCCTCTTAGGATCCATGATCATCGTCGCTACTGCTCTAATGTTTCTTCCCTTTTGCGGCGAGGATACAAAGGGTAAGGTTGGCGGCGGTGAGAGCTGGACTACTGGCCAGAAAGCTACGCTGGCTTGGGCATTAAGTCTATGGGGTGCGTTGGGCAGTCTGTTGGACAGCTTTCTTGGAGGTTGGTTCCAGAGAAGCGTCCGAGACGTGCGTTCGGGAAAAATTGTCGAGGGCGAAGGCGGACTTCGTGTGTTAACATCTCCATCGGATGCCGAACCCCATGCGCGCCAGAATACCGAAGAGAACGTTACTACTAATATTAAAGCACGCATCCTTCACGGAGAAGGAGGCGATGCTGTCGAGAGCCGATCGGATCCTTCCAAAGCCGGCATAGACGACTCTTCAAAGGATCCTTACGACCCAAAGGATAGACATCGGAGTTCTCATTTCGGCGACCGGAAGCCTACCCGAGTGGCTGAAAGTGGATTTGATTTGCTAGATAATAATGACGTCAACTTTCTAATGGCCTTTACAATGAGCATCGGTGCAATCGTGCTTGCTAGTTGGTATTGGCAAGTACCTCTGGGGGGTATCCTGAAGTCCTGAATGCACAGGAAGAGATAGTTTCTTGGTGGATTTACATTGGCTGATAGTTGAATATGTTCCAGACGAGATGTCTAATCAATTCGCATTCTGCATTCTGACATGAATATCACAGTGTTATGTATTTATCAATATCACTGTAAGGCCATAAAAGTCTCCAGCAACTTTGGATAGTTTGGTGTTCCCAATCCACTCGTTGGATCCCACCCTTCCACAGCTTTAAAACCTTCCATATCGCATATAGAGTTGTCGCCAGTTACAATGTCATCGAAGATTTCGGGATTGGCATAGAGAACTGGATTGACAAATCCCACAGTCGACTTACCGACTGCAAGCCTCTCCTCGTTGATACGGTTAAACATAGCACCAACCAACGGAGTAGCGGCCGAGGTGCCATCGGCAACATCAAGCTCGCCTAGCACGGCAACGGCAACATTTTTACCAAGGGCCGAGATATCGGGAAACCCACGGCCAGAGCTGTTGTACATACTTGAGCGACCTGGGTTGTGTTCTGCGAAGTAGTCGGAAACGACAGATTGTTGGTACGCTGGTGTTGGATAGTACCACGAGAATCCGCCAGAGGAGGCCCAATTAGTGTCTTTGGCTACGGTCTGGCTGCCATTTGACAGCAACATCGTGGCACCGACTGACGTGACGTACGGACAACTATTCCCTAGGTTAGCCTCTAAGTCTCTTCAGAGAAATTAAGAAGCCAAGGCTATGCATACTTTCCTGGATGAGAAGCATAAAATGAACCATAATTAGACGCCATACACTGGCGGGTTGCAAGAGGGCCACTGTTTCCGGCCGAACCCACGACGGTGACGCCTTGGAGGCCCAGTTTCATCCACCTAAGTACCACAGTTAGTTCCTTGTTTTCCCAAGTTATGTTTATCCAGGACAGCTTACTCATTGCATTGCCGCATTTGGTAGTTGGTACTATAAGTTGACTCTGCTCTCGAATACGATATCGAGATGACGTGTGTCGGTTTGTATGTACCGCACATACGTTCTCCCTTATACGTCCCAGGATCGAAAGGCTCTGGCCGGCCGGGAGCGGTAACATTTCGGTAATTGGGGTAGCTGGGGTCGTACTGAGAGTTATCACCTGTTTCGCCATAGGCCGAGTAGTTGCAATACGTCTGTTCATCACGGAATGCTCTTAGTAAGTCCCCTTTAAAGAAGATATACGTAAAAAGCGGCAAGGACTCACCCCATCTATAGCATCAAGGAAAGTGTTGAAAAGGCCAAAATACGCATTCGAAGAGTGGAGCGTGTAATAGTCATCGTCTGTCTGGTAAACTGTGGTGGTTTGGGGGTAAATGATTGGATACGCAACGTCTAGATCTAGGTCCGCTTCGTCGGGCTGACTAACATACGGATCGTCTTCGTTGTAATGCCAGACAGCTTGGTTAATGCTCAAATTCAGAGGCCGCGTACCCTGCGGTATATGAGGAGCATATGTTTTGAAGAATAGATCGAGATCCCCTTCCTGATACCAGGATCCTTTCTGGAAGAACCCCATGGAGTTATGGTGGTGTGCCTTATCAGCAGGTGGGATATCGTAAAGTTTCGCGATGCATTCTGGTGTTGCTATTTCGGAGCAATTAGGTTGTTGACGCCTCTCATGCCTATAACGGGACATTGATCTTGTCTTTCTCTCCTGAGGTCCAGGCTGCCTCCTTTCCCTACGCGGCCCCTTACTCTCGGCCATGACAACACCTGGATATATAAAGTCGATGTGCTCACTAAGCTGAGCTGGGACGTGATACCTGTTCAGTTTTGTATGAGCATAGCCGAACGTAAGTATGGTCTTATAAAAGCTTCTCACTTATCGCAACCAACCGAAACTCCCTCGGAATCACTCTCATATAGCCAATATTTCGTCTCGAGCAGCTTCTCGGCCTCCCTGACCGTCGCGTTGAAGACTAACCATCCACCACTCGAGGCCAGCCCAACGCGCTCATTATCAATTCCCGACGATATGATCCAGTCCCGAGTTGCTTCCACTGATTTCTGAGCCGGTTTGAACATGTTGGCAACATCTTCAGGTTCCCAATACTTTCCATATCCGGGGGACTTCGGATCTGATACATCCATGAGAAGCTCGTAACCTCGATCTAAGTTCTGCTGCTTCAGACCAATGCGCATCTCAAAAATGTCATCCGGAGGCGCTCGTTTCCGCTTATTCCAGGTATCTTCTTGATTAAAACTACGTCGCTCATGAACCACTGCCCGGTGAGTTGGCGCGGGGGATGCAAGCACAAGACTCGCGCCCAGTATCGCGACAATCATCCCTTTCAACGACATGGTAAAAGAATTCAAATCAAATCCTAGGCCTTGAAGACTTACATAGACTATAGAGTCGAAATGGACCGCTAGCTACTTTATATAGTTTTATTACCTAGTTATCTATATATCCTCTCAAGATTTATATGTATGCACAACCGTATTCATTGGGAATACGGGATCGTGCTCGTATTAGATGTCTTGGCGGGATGGCCAGACGGTTAACTGGTAGTTTGAGGTTATGCCTCCGGATCGCCAACAGGGGTCTGCGTGAAGGTATTAGTCCTAATGGAGCCCTCCTTGCTACGTAGAGATGTCTTGCATGAGTATCTGGATAATCACTACGCAGAAATGTGTATTATATTGAATTGACTAGGTTACCTCCTTTCAAAGATGATTGCAAGGATTCCTCATCTTAGGGACTAATAATCGGTATCATTGGTGGGTTATGTAATTCCACGATAATTAATGAATAATTGGATAATGCCATCATCACTATTCAAAGCGATAATATTTCCACATCTAATTGAGTTAGATAAGTTCTCTCTATATCCATTTTTAGATCTATCGTCTTAGTGGTACTTCTCAGACGCGCTGGGTGTGCTAGATTAGATGCGATCAGATTAGATTAGATTAGGTTGAATTGGATCTGGATAGAACATATTGAACATGTGTGACCTACATAGTAGAGCACTATGCTCAGAATGCCTACTGCGTGCCGATACATTATTTTCTTTAATAGGAGCCTTGAACTACACCAAGACGAATTATCTTTAACGAAGTATTATATGATGAACTCACTAACTATTTCAATGATCTTATTCTCATTTTTGGCGGTTAAATACCTACCTAACCTGGATACAAACCCCACCGGCTACTACGTCGATGGAGGTTCTAAAGGAGGCGCGGCTCATCATAACGGCAGTGGAATATCGTCAAGGATGCAGCATGCTTTATATTAGGCGGGATGCCCCCTGATGTTTTTGTTGCTCTCAATCAGAATCCGTTCTCATAATTTCGTTCCCTTCCAATATCAATCCGCCCCAACACCTCGCTTCTAGTCTCGCGTATAATGCTTTCTCCTCAGAAATTATTAGGCTTAAGTGCCTTCATAGCTGCTGCGAGAGCTGCCTTGCTTTCCGACTACTGCACACCTGCTTTTGCTGCAAGCGTATTGCCAATTCAGGACCTCGGACTAGGTGTCACTATCGACGTCTCATCGGTGTCAGCTATCCTTGCAACTAACAAATCAGTTAGCTCCGAATGGTTTGGGACTTCTGTGATCGACTACTGCAATATCACGTTCGCCTATTCTCACGATGGAATTGTGAACGACGTCGTCCACGTGTCGTATCTTGTCCCGCCACCAGACAAGTTCTTAAACCGATACGTCTCTACTGGAGGAGGCGGGCTTGCTATCAATTCGGGGTCACGGTTCAGTCCTGTCGGCGTCATTTCCGGTGCTGTGTCGGGCATTACGGATGGAGGTTTCGGCAACTTCGATACTCAGTACGATAAAGCATTCCTCTTGGCGAATAACACGGTCAATTGGCAAGCAACATATATGTTTGGATATCAGGCCCATCACGAGCTTGCTACACTCGGGAAACAGTTTACCAGGAACTTGTTCAGCATATCCGATAGCGAAAAGATCTATTCCTACTATCAAGGGTGTTCCGAAGGTGGCCGTGAGGGATGGAGCCAAATTCAACGCTTCGCGGATCAATTTGACGGACTCGTAACTGGTGCACCTGCTTTCCGATTCAGTCATCTGCAGACGAATCATTTGTCAGGCGGGGTCATAGAAAAGGCAATCGGTTACTTTCCGCCCCCTTGCGAGCTTGAGAAAATCGCCAGCTTAACAATCGCTGCTTGTGATAGCTTGGACGGTAAGGCAGATGGCGTGGTTGCGCGGTCCGACCTCTGCAAGCTAAGCTTTGACTACAATTCGACAATAGGTCAGCCATACTACTGTCCGGCATCTAATGGTGGATTCCCGGGAGCTTCCCCGTCCGTGCGCCGGCGTCAGTTTCCGGGTCCCAGCCCTACGCCTGAACAGAATGGTACCATCACCGCCGAGGGCGCAGCAGTGGCTTCCGCGTTTACGAACGGCCTGATAGACTCTAAGGGGAAACGCATCTACATAAACCCCCAACCTGGCTCTTCCCTCACGGACGCTACAACTCAATTCAATGAGGATACAGGTGAATGGGAGCCCAATCTCTCGGGTTTGGGACCGCAGTGGATAACACGCTATCTGTGGCTCCAACAGAAAGATTCGCTTGATAGTCTCGAGAATGTGACCGCCGATACTCTGCGGGACTGGATGGCATTCGGTATGCAAAAGTACCAGGACTCGCTTCAGACGACCTGGCCAGACCTAAATCCCTTCAAGGCCGCCGGGGGTAAAGTCATCCTTATCCACGGAGAGGCGGATTCTGCAATCCCAGCTGGATCTTCAATTCATTATTACGACTCTGTTCGGAATGCCATGTACGACGACCTAAGTTACGACGAGAGCATATCCGCAATGGATGACTTTTACCGCCTATATATCGTTCCTGGCGGATCTCATTGTGGAAGCAACCGAGATCAACCAGGCGGTGGCTGGCCCGCAGCTACACTCCAAGCAGTTATCGAATGGGCCGAGAACGGAGTCGCCCCTGATACACTCGACAACGCGGGGGATATTAATGTCTTGTGCAAATGGCCCCTCCGCCCGCTATGGTCTAGTAATGGAACTCATTTCGATTGCGTATATGACTCTGAATCGACGGAGTCCTGGACTTATACGTTTGATGCCTTCAAATACCCGATCCATTAGAAAATTAGTGCCTTGCACCGTTCTATAGCTAGAGTGCTGTACTTATCTGGGTACCTATATTGATAAAGACTACAAGCTCCGATGGTCATATTCATAGTATCCAATGTACTTGTAATTTAGTAAAAAATAACATTGTATACCAGCACCAGTAGCCATTAATCATATCCAAGGATGATACCCCGTAAGTTAGAGTGGCATAGCCTATCGAACTAAGTGAGGTATTATAGTTAGCTTTAGAAGTGAGGATCGGATTGATAAAGAAGGGAATGGTAGGAATAGCTATTTTTCACATTCGCGTTCCTATCTGGCTATCAGGGAATATTAAATCTGGATCTTGGAGTCGTTCAACGGAGTCGGTAAACGGTGATTGTAATAGAAGGTAAATGATATGACGCCGGTGAACTTTTCTGTATTATAAGGTATATCTTGAATTATCCTCTCCAATTACTCATGTTCACATCTCTATTCCTTTCTATAATACGTCTTGCCCCTTTGAATGAAAAAAGAGATGATTTAGATGCCTCTGGCCATTTGTTAACCTTCTAGGCCTATGTTAACCCCCTTCCCGCTGTAGTCTAGGCATGTACCGATTAACAGGTATTTACCCAAGCGATAATTTCTCTCAACCCAAAACCTCCAGGCTCGTGACAGACATGCGTTCGTGTCCATCTCGATTAATCACCCTGCTAGGATGGAACCAGTTGTAGGCAAGTGAGACGATAAGCATGGGAAGCGCATCTAAGCAGTACAAATAGGCCTCTTTGGATTGTAACTCCCCGTCGGACCCTAAGGCGTATTCTGCTACGCGATACACCGATCGGACCATGATCAGGGTACTGGATAGGTATAGAACCAGAATTAGCTTCCTCCACGGAGTAGGTAGTGCTAGAGCATTTCGAGTAGGGTTCTTCGCAATACGCTTGTGGAATACGAATGTAACGATCATGAAAAAGCCAAAAAAGAGGATTTGTATGCACAGGCCGCCAATGATGATGTCCTCGCCCCGGCGAACGTCATCCACAGATTTCGCTTGCGTTAGCATGCCGCCGCCTACATAAACGGATATAAGTATACGGATTAGTCTTGGGCAACTCGGTAGGATTGTTTACCTCCGCCTTGAGCAAAAAAGGATAAGACATCACCCAGAACGAAAACCTTCGTCAACCACCGTGGCTTGATGAGCGAATATTTCTCGGCTTCGAGAAGGACGACTAAACGTCCTAGAATCATGTAAATAGAGGCGGCGAAGAGGGTGGGTCCAAGAAGAAGGAGTATCGATTGAATAATATATGGGTTTTTCGTGAAGTTGGGAAATTCCGGCGACGACATTGCTCTCCCAATGTAGCCGACGGTCTCAACTATACATAAATTGATTAACAAACGAAGCTCGTGTAAGTAAAGGCATAAATGAAGATACAAACGAGACTACTCACAGAGACATCCGACAACGAATGGAATAAAGTACCATATTCTCTTTTGGAAAAGTACTTTTGCGTGGAGAAGAGATGATATAGCGAATAAAAGAATGAATATAACAGCAGCAGCCATAGACGGCCTATACCGATAGAACACGAAGCTAGGCCTCTCGTCAGCCATGTTGTAGATTGTTGGTCTTGGTTTGTAAGGATGAGGGTATTCGAAACGAGCAACAGTTAGTTTAAAGGGAAAATACTGTCTTCAGCTGATGTATCCGATAAGTCGTGCTGCGAGAAAGCCTTTATATTTCTGGGAATCGAGATCTGCTTAGCCGCTGAAACGCGTAAGCTATAAGTTATATGGTTCCCCCATAAGGCGTGGTAGGTATCTCAATCAGCATATCTGAGGCTCTACGAGATATGGTTCGTACCCCTGCGCATCTATGCACTAATACCCGCACTCACACTTGGGCAGCTGAATGAATGGCGCCCCCCCTTTTACAACCTGTACGTCCGCTCGTAAAGAAAAACATGTTCGTATATTCGTACTCTGAAGAAATTAAGTAGGGATACTCGATATAGCCCTAATGCTTTGGTTCAGCGCTAATTGTAAATAGCTATTACCTCTTAGTATTAAATACGACTTTCATTACAGGTACATCCTAGATTGGGGATGTGCAGATAAACTTCGTGCGATTTTATGTCTATGAACACCAACAGTTACCCAACAGTTACCCAAAGAATGAGTCTAGCTTCTTCAAGTAATGGGCTAATAGATACACCAGATACTCATTATTGACGACCTCTTTTTATATAACCATTCATCATAGAGCTACCTACTTGCACCCGAGTAAGCGCATTGGAATGTATGACCTTGCCTCACGCTGATACTACCTATGTACAGGTCGCTACATGGAGGAAACATCAAGAAATATTGTGAAAGCTTGAAAGAAGTGGATGAGAGAATTTTGAGATTCACAGTGGTGCCATCACATTTCAAGCTCCGCCGCAAATCCTAGGTATTTCGAGAGCCGGCATGGAGACGTTAGGCAAGCTTCGTAGCATTCTGCCTTCGTCACGTCCCCACTTCGTACATGGGCGAGTTTCGTAATACAATGCGAGAGATACGAGCGTTTTGCGAACATGTCGTATCTTGAAGCAAACAACCTTTCACCGGGGGTTTTCATCCTAACGCCTTCAAGACCAACTACGGTTGACCAGACAGGCCACTGTGCCAAAATGAAAAAAATAATCGCACACTAAACTAAAGTTGGTAAGGGGTCACTTGCCACAATTTAGAAAATATTAAATGTATACTTCCAAGCCTTATTACGGTTTATTGTAATAGAGATATTGATTTAACCAGTATAATGTAAAGGATTGGCCAATCAAATTAAAGGATTTAATTGTCAATTCAATTGTCAATTCAATTTTCAACTACCACATCTATACATTCAAATAACTTTACGATTCCAGCAATTACAACATTATAATTGGTATTGTCTAATAGCCTCAATTGATGCGAAAATAATGATTTAGGTTGCATGCTTATACGACGTATTGTTGCTAAAATATTTGGAGTCTTTTGAAAACAGTCGTCTTAAAGGGTATCACGTGTACGTACAGGTCTCTGGGATGATAGGCAGTATGTGGGGCTGTCATATATCGTCAAGTACCTCCCCCACCATACAAATTTACTACTGTACACTTGTACTTTTGGAATAGTCTCAACTGCCCAAACTTTACAAGATGCGCGCCCTCCTATTGGCTAAATCTTACATTGCCCGTCCGGCAATATCCTTATCTTTATCCTTATCCCATATCTTTAATACAGCCTCATATTAAACTAATTGTATTCAATCAATTCAACAACATGCAAGGCCTGGATGTCCTTATTAGATGCAAGATTCTATTGCCTTTATCCAGTCGCATGCATCGGTTATAGACTGTACGGTCGCATGCAGTCATTCCGAGGCAAAAAGGCTGAAAACGAGGTCTTTTTGAATGATCTCTGATATGTGTATGTATGTATAAGGCTGGCTGGCTGGCTGGCCAATCAGGAGGCTGTATTGTATAAGGCTATTTGATTAATACCCTTTGAGACTATTTCAAAAGACTTTAGATATCTTAACAACAATACATCGTATAAGCATGCAACCTAGATACTTATTTTCGCTTTAATTGAGGCTATAAAATGATACTAATTATAATGTTGTAATTGCTGGAATTGTAAAGTTATTTGAATGTGTAGATATAATAGTTAAACCCTTCTTAAAGCATATTATATATAACGTTATAATGTATGTATTTAAAAAGAATGATTCTTTTTTCCCATACGAAAGTGCGAAGTACCGTAATAATTCGAGCTAATTGCGCTACCCTGTGGCTGACTACCCTTTTAAGCTAAGCTCACAGATTTTTTTCATTTTGGCACAGTGGCTTGTCTGGTCAACCGTACCAACTGTGTATAAGCCAGCGGCGTACCGGTTCAGAAAGTCCACATTATTTTATAAGGAAAATACCTAGGTAGGCCGGTAGTCTCAACAAGCTAGGTCAAACAAGCCATTCGTAGGTAATTATCTGGCCTAATGTAGTAGGTTTGGACCGGATTAGTATTAATCCGGGACCTAGGAATGTCAAAGTCTTTCAGCCACCCATTATATCACACGAATAGGTACCTGAGAAGTGGGTCTGAATGCCCTCATTTCGAGGGATTTATCCAAAGAAAAAAAAAAAAAAAAAAAAACCCCCCCGGACTTGTCTACATCTTCTAAAGATAGGACGTTAATAAATTTAGGTTATGCTAACGCAAGTAAGGCCGGATAAATTACCGGCTTGTTAAGATCGCTAAGGTAGGCAATTGGTCTTCATAGGATCAGCACGACGAGCCTTCAAGCTGGCGCTGTCAACTCATCCGTCGCGCAATTTCAAGAGACCTATCTCATCACCAAGACAACTCGGACAAAAGGGGTAATACCTATGCCGATATGATTATTCCGTATTACAGACAATCTTATAATTTTGAGTTTATTACTAGCTGTCTCAAGGTTACCACGTCCGTAATTATAGTGTTAGGTATCTACATAGGAGAATAATTAGATCGTGATATGCACATCTAAAGCAGCCTCCCCTTTAGCCTCCCCTTTAGTACCAAAAGAGCTTGATCCAATGCTACTTGCTACATGGGTCCTGTTCCTGGGTATATGAAGTACGTGACTAGTCAACTCTTTCTGCCGTTATGAATACACGTTCCCTCGCTTGTCCGCCATTGATATTCTTGGAAGGAGGAAAGATGTCCAAAAGATCATCATGCTCAAAAGAATACAAATTAGGGCTATAATCTTGATATTCTCTCGACCTTGGTCCTGAGCTGGTATAGGAATGGGTTCTACAGGATTCCGAGGTTGCTGTGGCGTGTCTATATGCGCGCCACCTTCAAAGCGCCTGGTCAACCATTCCTGAGGTAACAACCGGCGTCCCTCTCCCTCCTCCGGTAACGCGCTGCCGCGTATTGGATTCACCTCCGTGAAATCAACCTCGCCGCTTACCAGCCACTCCCAATCTGGCGTTTCCGGAGAAATATAATCCTCATGCGTAGTACGCCACGTTGTTGTCGATACCGATTCCCCATTGTGAAAGAGGTGAAAGACTATAGCTGCCCGCCTGCGTGAACCATCGTTACCTGCATTTTCGGCATTTTCGGCATTACCGGCGTCCTCTGGCTCTTTTTCTTTATTGTCACCATCTTGCCCTTTAGAATCTCCAGATAGCCCCGGGAAATCAGGGTGCAGCGCGATAAGGATTGTCTGTTCCAGATTGTGGTCTGGATCTGCGGCGCCGTTGGGTCTCACGCGCAATACGGCGGTGACCGCACTCGGATCCGAGTCCGCTCCTAGCTCTATCTCACTCTCCGGTCCATCCTCCTCCCCCTCGCTCCAAACTTCACTGTTATCTTCTCTACTATTTTCCCCTGGGTGAGATTCGCCCTCTTCGTCCTCTTCTTTCGGGACAATATTTGAATTAGAAACATCTGAGGGGCGGGCCATTTTAATATTTTGCGTCGTTTTCAATCAAACAATAGGGGTTGAAAAGCAATAAATGTTACGTGATCATCAAGCAGTAAGGGGTAAGAATATCCCCAAATATTAAGTATATGCGATAGAATTTTGATGCCAACAGATCTACTAATGCATTCTGTTTACTTTCAATCATATTTTCGCAGTATGACCCTTTGTGTATGTTAGTATAGGCGAGGTTCATTGTTGCTATTAGATTGCTGCTTCCGGAATTGATGCTTACGGTTTAGACTTGAACAAACAAACCAGAGAAAAATAATAAAGTTGACTGAACACCATAAACATCTCACCTACTCTGATACTATTAGTTGAGAGTAAAAGGTGTTTTCCAAATTTAAGGGGCGCCAACTGGAGTTGTGTCATATGGATAATAAGAAATTGCGGAATCATTCAAAAAGGAGTGTCTTTAAACAGTTGGCACATAGGCCTTATTAAAATCCCGAAGTTATAACACATAGACTTATCTCTGAGTATCTTGAGAACTACTACGCTAGTTTCGCAACAGTAAAGCACGGCAATGAACCCCCCTCCCTGGTCTCTCCTCCGTCTTCAGGTATCGGAGGAGGAGAGGCAAGATATCATACTTGTTTACCATGGTAACGCCGAGGAGGACGTACGCTTCACACCATCCGCACAACCACTCTGTTTGCACTTGGGACGTGGAACCCGGTCGTGGCGAGGCGATACCGGATTCGATTTAGGACAGCTGAGTACCGCTGTCGAAGCAGTCCAGGCTCGTCAAGGCGTCGACCATCCGGAGCTCTTACGGGCCCCATCCGTCAGAGATGGAATTGACCCGTTATCCCTGGTCGGGCGAGTCAGGAGGGGCGTGTCACAAGTTCCATCTAATTGGCGCCCCCGTCTCATCGCCGTACTTCAACCTTTAACCATAATTGCCGGTATTTTCACTGTGGTTATGTGGGCTACTATAGCTTTTAGTCCAGATCTATTTAGAGGCCACTCAATCCCCCACTCAAAACTACACCTACCAAGTATAGAGTCGGCCGCAGGGTCATCTTTTTCTCGGCCGCATACTCTCATCAAAACTATCCCGATGACGAGAAACTTAAGGGGCTTACTTCTTAAGCACCACAAGCCTTTGCATGATAGCTGGGCTGCCCTCGATGAGAAATTTGATCCAGAGGTGGAGACGGCGATTAATAAACTGAACATGCTCCTTACTCCATCGTCAGCATTAAACCCACCAAGCAATATCTACTCTACCGGCGACTACGAAGCGAGTTCGGCAGAAATTCTCAACATGCTAAACGCTTTGCACGCTAACCTTCGGGCACACGGGCAGCATCGGAAGTCTTGGGACAACGAGGCGTTAGCTAAATGGATAAACATGGCAGCGTGGTGGAGCTGGGGGGAGCCCGACTTTGACCCCTGGAATTACCTACCGGAATCAATCTCAGGAAATAATACCGCCACCATCCTCAATACGTTTACATCAGTCATCGAGCCGCAAAATTTTCGCATTTATCACTTAGCCGACGAGATTCTCTGTTCCGGTTACGACAGCTTACTTCCCTGGCAAGGCATGCGCGCTCACTACGCGCAAGCTCATGATAGCCTGGCCTTGCTTCTCCAAGATATCGGCGGTATTCTATCTCCGTTGGTTCGTAGGGAGGAACAACGGTTTAGCAAGAAGGGAGAGATAGACAACCTCGTCGAAGAATTTTTATCCACTGCTCAATGGGCTTATAAGACAGTCCAGGTCGGGTTGGGCGCCGCGCGGACTCTCGATGTAGAGATAGGATCGATTTGCGCAACAATTACGCAAGCCGCCCAGCTCCAATGGCGCGTTCTAGCTCAGGATAACAGCTTGCTATTTCACCAATTCGTGCCGGACGGCGATACAGATGACGTGATAGAAGTATGGCTCTCGTGGCCACCTACTACTGAGGCCATTTCTGATCTGACAGATGCAACAAGTATTGTTTGGGGCAGTCGTTTCCGAAATCGCTGATGACGTTTAGGCGGTTCTCGTTATTCAGGAGGCGATAGTCATTAATTACACACTAAAGGCTTATGGATTGTAAAATAACTCCTAAGATACGTGTGTTCGGTCATACGTCAACGAAATGAATGAGCTCTAGCGCCAGGGTGATTGGCATCTTCTGGTTCCTTTTTAAAATTGCAATCTATGTACGGTGCACCATTAGTTTAAATCCGACAAAATACAAAAACGGATGAAAATTCGTCAGCTTGGCTGGCGTAAGCGCTATAATTATCCCATTGACCGCCAGACTTATCTCAAGTGACCTCAGACCAGATCCTTCGAAATTTTTCGTTCGTTGACGAATTTTCATCCGCTTTTTTGTTTTGTTGACACCTGGGACAATCGTCGGCGTAAGGGCCAGCCTGTTTTTCGGAGACTGACAAATCTGGGGGTCCAGAAGGCGCTGGAGTGTCGCTGACGGCTGGGGTAGATATCTATCGTCGAGGTTAATATTTTGCTCGAGATAATTTGTCTGGGCACATACCTGAGCTAGCGCTGCTGCTGGTAGTACCAGAGCAATGATCGATGCGAACTTCATGGTGCTGGATAAATGCTATGGGAGCCTCGCGTAAGTATCGAATGGAAATGATCAGCGGAGTTATATTTGAGAGTAAAGATGGTAGTGGTCTTTGAAGTTTATTTGATAGAAAATAGAGTCTACTTATACTTCATCCTTGCCGTGCTCCCTACGTCGGACTTAGGACTTGGCTTAATTAAAGTCGGTTCAGAGTATTTGCTGGTCATGGCGATTGATGCTTATTCCAACGTGCTGACGTGTAACCCCCTGGTCCGCTTTCTCCATGCATGTATTGTACGTGGTCGGAAAATAGAAGGATTGTGGTAATTGCTTTACAATGGAGAGTATGAAATAGTGCTAGGTAATTGATGATATAGATGCCTGGAGTTACCAGGGATTCTTTCCACACTAAAGATTATTATCCTATTAGTTGGGCTTCTTCATGTTGTGTTGCTTTATGTATGGGACAAGGCTTAGAAATGGTGTTGGAGGAAAGTCTTGATTAAGTGTCTACGTACGCCTTCACCGACTATTTACACACGCACAGCTCTTAACGAGCAAGGATTTAATTAGTGAGTGAACCGGGTCACCGAGATCTATAGCCGAAGACTCTAGTACGGCGTCGAAATATATTAAATATCAGTTTTACGCGAGAGCCGTAAAGGTAACATCTAACAGATACATTTGCCTTCGCTCTATGAAGCTACAGACTTAATAGGCCCCCATAACGTAATACGCCCTAATCAGCGCTGGTATAACAGTCTTGAAAGGTTAATAAACGATATAAGCGCCGGCAGATTGGATTAAGGAAAGCCTTCACGACAAATCGGAATATCCGTCCCTTGCAATTCGGATCTTCCTTATTAGCCTGCGCCATTTACATACCGGGGAGGGAAGTGAGCCCTGAAAGACAGATCGTTAGCATAAGACTTGTAGAAAAGGCACACATGATAACTTACATCCGTCGATGTCTTCGTCGACTGTGCTCTTCACCTGGCACTGGTTCATCTCGGCCACACCCTGAGACTTCAACGGATTTCCGTTCTCGCAGGCGTTGAACATGCAGGAAGAGTCCATGGCGCGCTGAAGCGAATCATCCTTCCAGCCAAATACGTAGTCCGCATGAGTACCATATCCCGTGTTGTCGCCGTAGCTCAACGTGAAGGGTTGCGAGCCGTCGCTGGGCCACAGGCTGTTAAACTGAGTCGTATCCCATAAGGTCTCGTAAGCTACCTGCGGGACACGGATAGGGTGTGACGCGGGGCAAGGTCCGGAGTTTTGGAATGCGTCCTTCACGGTATTATACATGTGAGATTGGTGGTCAGGGCTGTCCAGGTTCTTGCCATCCCAGCATCTAAATATGGTCAGCGGGTAAGAATATGATGGCTTGGAATGGTACTAACGCGGGGAAGTGGTGGACAGTCATAATGCCGCCCGCACAAGGCTTCGTGGGGAAATCATCAAGCTCGGGGAATCTCGTTCCTTTGTTTTGAAGGCAGACAAATTTAAGACCGGGTCCGTATTTCGAGGTAGCCGTAGGAGTGCCCACGGTCATGCGGAAGCCCTTTCGTAGTTAGCGTCTTACGCCGAAGAGACATCACGCTCAACTTACCGGCTTAAAGGCGGTGATCTTTTGGTTGCCGTTCGACGAGAAGTCCTGCTGCGTGTAGTAGATGGTCATTCCACCGTTAATGCCGTCCGGCAGAGCCGTGTTCTGCATGATGGGTACACGCTTGTAAGTTCCGTTCGCGTGTTTAAAGAACATGACCGCGGTCCAGTAATTAGAGAAGTCTTCAGAGAACGTGCATGTGGTGCACGTTCCCCTGTCACCGAGGTCATCACCCATAGTAGCGTTGAAAGCATTCCCGCCGACAATCTGGTGAAGATGGGCTGATGGAACCTTGCCGGGCTCGACGAGGGGATCGAGACGTTGGATGCTGACGGTCGAGCATCCAAATCGAAGCGCGGCCTGAGAAGGCACGGCGAGTGCTAGAGCGAGAGATAACCACTTCATCTTCGCGGTTGGTTGTAGAGTTCAGCGACGAGTTTCGGCGACGACAGAGATGCCCACAAGTATGCGATGCGGTTCGACATGGCCGTAGATATGTATCAGCATCAGAGCCAGACGTTCCCCTGGCGTCGAGATATGCCGACAGCCGGATACCCACGGCAGGATCCTAATAAATTGGCTGATCATCATTCTTTAATAGGTTCCTGGCTTTTTTCCGTCTTGTTTAATTTAGGCGAGTTCTAAAATGTCCAACTCGGGGGATGCGCCCCCGCATTCTTCATATTGGTCGAACCCCGTATCGCTTCGGCATCGAATCAGACACGAAGGCAAACTCGGATTTGGAATCATGACCTAAGGTGGCTAAAGTATAATGAGCTCGGCCTTGAATTTGGCACAGGACGTTAACCCGCTGCGATAGATGCGATAGATGCATCATCGCAATAAAATTGAGCCGGAGCCATCGGGCGATAGTGTCACGAATCGGGGCCAGAGCGACGACAACGGGAAGAGTTCACGTTGCGAGGTAGTAGGGCCGAAGGCAGCATAGCAGCCTTACAGCGTCCTGGCTTAAATCTGCCGAGTCGGCAGTCATCGTGACATGCTTGCTACGCCTCGCGGTCGCAACCTTGATTTAAACTTTAAGGCTTGGTATGGTGGACCATTAGTGCAACTGTGCCAAAATCAATAAAATAGGTCGGAATTTACCAAAAAGGGTAATATAGTAAGGAACGTTAAATGCACAGTATATTATGCGGGATATATACAAGGTAAAATAAAAAATTTTATTATTAATTTAATTTTTAATTACTTTAATATAATTTATAATATATAATATATTTAAATAATTTTATAAAAATAATAATTTAAACGTTATAATTAATATTATTTTATAATTTTAATTAATGTAAAAATAATAATTTAAAATACATTTAAATTGGTTTTTTAATTATTATATTATAATAAAATTAAATAATGTTTATTTATTTAAAAAAGTAAATATGTAATATTTTTTAAAAATATTTTAATAAAATTATTTTAAATAAACTTTAAATATTTTAATAATAATATAATATTTAATATATATTGTATAAATATATATTTAAGTTTATTATTTTTATATTAATTAAAATTATAAAATAATATTAATTATAATATTTAAATTATTATTTTTATAAAATTATTTAAATGTATTATATGTTATATATAAAATAATTAAAAATTAAATTAATAATAAAATTTTTTAATTTAATTAATTAATGTTAAAAATTAATAAAAAAGTAATTTAAATATTAATATTTAAATAATTTAATTAATTAATTTTTTAAACTTTTAAAAAAAACGGTTTATATAATTATATTTATAATTGTTAAAATGATAAGGTTTTATATGTATTACGTAATAAAAAAAAAGTAATTAAATTGTATTATTTGATTAGTTTAAATTAATTAAATAAAGTAAAAAATTTATTAAATAAAAAAAATATTTATTTATATATGTTATAAATTTTATATAAACGGTGTGTGTTAATATAACTTTAATTATATGGCATAATATATAACTAATATTTTAATAATAACTTTTTTAATATTTTTATTAATATTAAATTAAATTATATATAATTTAAACTATAATTTTTATTATTTATTAATTAAAATATTTATATTTTTTAAAAAAAGTTTAAATAAATATTTATAAAGTTATTATATTATTAATTTTAAAAAAAATAATTATATAATTTATATTACCTTATAAATTATATATATAAGGTAAATAATTAAGCTTATATTATACCTTTAACGTTATTATTATCTTATTAAACATAATGCTACCAATTTTCTTGATTTTGGCACAGTTACACTAATGGTCCACCATATTTGGCCAAAACTGTTTGGCCGAAGATAAATTGAAACAATTCCAAATGAACATTAATATCCGGGCTACTTTCCCCATTACAACTTACCAGGATTTTCAACAATATAAGTGGGGCGCCAAGCCGCCAGGCATTAACTTTTACTAAATAAAGCTAGTAAATATCCTTTTATATAAATTACTATTAAAAGGTATAAAAATAACGGTTTTATTTAAAGTTTTTTTTTTAATAACACGATTATTATATAATGTATAATTTAATATAAAACTATATAGCTTTATTTTTTAAAATAATAATGTTATTTTTTTTTTAATAAAATTTATTAAATTTATTTTTTATTGTTATTATAATAGATTTATAAAATTAATTAAATTAAATTATAAAATAATATTTTAAAAATATTATTTTAAATATTATAAATGTTAACGATATAATTAAACGATAATGTAACTTTTATATTAATATGTTATTTTATATAAAAAAAGTTTTATAAAATTTAAAAAAAGTTAAAATTAATTGTTATTATTAAAAGTTTTATAAATTTTAAAAAATGTTTTTAATTAAAAATTAAAAAATTAACGTACGTTTAATACTATCATAAAGTTAAAACCAAAAGGTATTATTATTAAAAGATAATATTTTAAAGAACTTAAAATATTAAATCATTATAATAAAACTTTGTTTATATATATAAAAAAATAAAAGTTTTAACTTAAATATTAAATTATAATGTTATTTAATAAATCGTTAAATAATATTGTAACACATATTATAACTATAATAATATTCTTTTTTTAAATAAAGCATTTGTTTTAAATACTTTAATTTCTATTATTTTTATTATATTTAAATTATAACTTTTTTTATTTTTTTAATTTTTTTTTTTTTAATTTTTTCCAGTTAATAAACTATTAAAATTTAAACTTTTTTAAATTTTTATAATAAAAATCTTTAAATTGGTTTTTATTTTTAATTATATAATTTTTACAATTTTAAATAAGTTTATATAATATTTATTAAATTAAAAAATTAAACATTTTTTTCGGTTAATTAAAAATTTTTACATTTAATATTTTTTTAAAAAACTATTCTAAATAATTGTTTTTAATATCGTCATTTTATATTAATATTTTGTTATTTTTATGTTATTTTTTTATATAATTATTTATTTTAATTTATTTAAATAAAGAATTATTAAAGGCTTTTATAAAAAGTAATATATAAAATATTAAAAATATTTTTACATTTTTAAATAATTTTAATAAATAAACGTTATTATAAATTTTTAAAATTTCGTATAAACCTTATTGTTTATTATTTAATTTTCAAATTGATTATTTAATTTTAATATTTTAAATATTTAAGAAAATTTTATTTTTAAATTTATACTTAAAATAATTAATTCTTTTTATATTAATATAGCAAATTTATTATTATTATATTTTAACTATAATTTTTTTAAAATAAATATTAATTTATTTTATATATATAATTAATATATTTATTACAAAATATTTTCGTTATTATTAAACAATTATTTCCAATAATATTAACCTTATAAATTTAATACTTAATTGTAAATAAAATTTATAATTAATAAAAAAAAATAATATTTTTATAATTTTTAATATTAAATTATTAATTGTAAATTTTATTAATAATAATTAATCTTTTTAATTATTTTATAAAAATATTATATAATAATATAAATATACTTTTATAAATATATTAAAATTTTTTAATTAACCGTTTATTTAAAAATAAAATATTAAAAAAAAGGTAAAGTTTATTTTTAATTTATAATTAAATTATATTTAAAAAATTAATATAAACTAAATGTTTTAATTATTTATAATAAATATTAAAATATTATATAAATTTTAAATTTTATAAATAAAAATATTTATAAATTTTTTTATTTTTAATAATATAATTAAAATAAAATGTTTTATTTTTATAAATTTATTAATTATTATTAAAATATATTTATATATAAAACTAAATTTAATATATTTTAATAATAATATTATATAATTTATATTTATATTTTTTTATAATATAAAAAAAATTTTAAAAAATTAAAAAAGTCTTTAAAATACACTTTTAAATAATTTAAATCAAATATAATAATAATAATTTTTTATATATTAAATAATATTTTTATATAATTTTAATTAAATATAAAAATATAATATTAAATTTAAAATCTTTATTTTTTTTAAATATCTTACCGAAACTAAATTATAATATTAGAAAAAAATTTAAATCTTAAAATTTTTATTTTTAAAAATAAATAAATAATTTTGGTAATATATCTTTTTTTAAACCATTTTATAATTTATAAATTATATTTATTATAATTTATTGCATAAATCTTTTAACCAAATTTTTTTTATTACATTTTTTAAAATAAAAATTATTTATTAAATTAAAAAAAAATTTATATATATATTATCTATTAACGCGTTTATAAATATATTTATATTTAATTGGTATAAAGAAAAATCTTTGTTAAATTTATATTAAAATAATTTATTTAAAATTTTTTTATTTATATAATTTTTTATAAAAATTATATAATATTTATTATTAATTTTTTTATTATTTATAAATTTAAATACAATGCCAAAAAAATAATTTAAAACATTTAATCTACTTACCTTTAATTTAAATTAATAAATAATATAAAAATTAAAATAGTTAAAAAATTTAATTTATTTAATTTATTTAATATTTAATTATTTTATAATTATAAAATATTATAAATTTTTATAATTAAAAAATATATTAAATTTTTTTAAACCTTTTAATTTAAATTATCATCTTTTTAAAACTTTTACAATAGTTAAAAATTTTTTATTATAAATTTTATAATTATATTTTTATATGAAATATTTTAATAAAAAATAAGCTATAAAATGCCATTCCCCATTATTACTTTTTTATATAAACACGCCTTTATATACTTAATTAAAAATATTTATTTCCATTAAAGTTTCTTAATTTAAATTATAATATACTAAAATAAATTTTATTAAAAATATTTCTTTTAATGCAGTAAATATAATTTATACTTTTTTATTTTTTTTCTAATTTTAAAATATATTAATCTTTATTATTTCTATTAAAAATTTAACAATCCTAAAATATCCTTTTATAAAATATTTATAAAAATTAATAAAATTTAAAAAATTTTTTAATTTTTTTAAATTTTTAAAATTTTTTTATTAAAAAATAACGTTAACCTTATTAAAATCTATTTTAATATTATTAACAGTAATAATTAAGCCAAAATATTTGATTTTTTATATAAAAAATTTACTTTTATTAATATTTATTTAAAAACCTATCTCATTAAAATATTATAAAATTTTTCAAATATATTCCATATATTCTTTTTTAATTTTAAAATAAATAATTATATTATTTAAATAAACTAAATATATTATATTTAATAAATTAAATAAAATTTAATTAATATATAATTAAAAATATATTAAGGCGTTTATAAATTTAAATAATATTATTTTATATTTATATAATTTATATTTTATAATAAACGTTATTTTTTATTTATTTCTTTTTTTTAATTATATACAATTAAATATAATTATTATATTAATTTTAAAAAAAATCTTAACGTTTTTTATCTTTTTTAAAATATTTTATATTTATAAAATTAGAAAATGATTTTTAATTATATTATTATTTAATTATTTATAATTTATATATAATTTAACTTTTTTATTTAATTTTTTGGTTAAAAATATTTTAAATATAATAAATAAAATAGATTATTAA